TTTTCGATTAAAACTTTAAAAGAGATTTTTATCGAAGGCATGAGCGTGTAAACTAATGATTCAAGTGGGAACTTGAAACAGTATCACGTGCGCACGTGACTTTACAGATTAGCTCTCAGCACATAACAGTTCCTCCAGCATCTGGTTTATGGGCCTTTTACCGCAGTGGTTGAAAGGAATGGTGCCCTTGCATTACGGCGTGATTTCGAACCTAGTTGATTCCCTGATCTAACATCTAATCTAACAAATTTATTAAGTGACAGAAAAAAAAAAAAAAAAAAAGCACCTGGTTTATACTATACTATTTATATGCTTCCCATGCTGTAAAGGCTGCAACCTTTTTCTGCCTTTGAGTTGAGCCTCCTCCTGAGCCCCGAGACTCAAAACAAAGCACCTGGTTTATACTATTTATATGCTTCCCCACGCTGTAAAGGCTGCAAGCCTTTGAGTTGAAGCTCCTCCTCAGCCCCGAGGCTCAAAACAAACACAATACTAATCGCGTTTCAAATGGTTTGCCATCCATCGTAATTCTACTTTTAAGAGAATCTTCTTAACATTTCTCATAGAATCATATTATGTAGAAGGAAAACTCCGTGGCTAAGCTTAAAAAGAGAAAAACTTGAGCGTAACCAAGATTTATCTCCATCTCTCTATCTCACTCGTCACCTGTTACATGCAATAATCTCTCTTGTAAAACGCGTACAAGAATCAATAATCTTAAGGATTAAACAAAAAGAAAGTCGAAATACAGTATAAAGTTTAAGCAGAAATACCATTATCATATAATAAAACAGCATTAGCATTTAGCACAGTTGTAAACAGGCTTCCAATACATAATTAGTGAATGCCAAGTTGCTTAATCTTACCCTACAAAAATATTCCTGAATAAGGTGTAACAAAAGTAAGCTAACACATTATTGAATCTGTATTCCTCTCCCAAATGGAAAACCAGCTACCCTTCAAACATCTTCACAAAATAATTGCGTTAAAAGCCATTGACTTTGCACACATCTTCTTGCCTTCCCTTTTCGAATAACCAATTCGATAACTTTAATCGTCACGTGGCCCAAATTAAAGCATTGCATCTCTACTGTATCATCACAAATCAACAGAGTTGTGAAGGATGGTATGCCGGGCCATACCAGAAGCACATGCTTAGCTCCCCCTCCGGCCTTCAACGTCGACGACACGGGTCCTATAGAAGTCTGAAGCATCTTTTAGCAGAAGGTAAATTGAGAGGTGACATATATGGAGTACGCATGGCCATTAAACTGATGAGTGAGAATAATTATATACTAAGTATCTATTAGCTTTTAAAACTTCAGATTGTACAGAGTTAGATTGTGATGAAAGAAAGTACTGAGCAATCGATAGTTGGAAAAAGCCGAAACAACACATCCCAATCGAAGAAACTTACCAGAAACACCGACTAACGAACTTCAAGAAAACAAAAACAAAATCAAAATTAAAAGTAATATGCTACAGAGGAACACTATTAGGCATTTCACATGTAACGAGTCGCCAAGAGATGGTTGACGAAGGCAAATATCGAGCTTTCAACACTCAAATGCAAATGGCGGCAACACATCCAAATGCAAGAAAGTTGCAAAATCAAAACTAAAAGTAATATGCCACAAAGAACACTGCTTGGCACATACATATGCAGACGCAACTCATTAAAATCCGTCACATAACATGCACATAAACTGTATGCAAACTTCGATTACAAACTCGATAAGATTAATGGCCTTAGTCCAATAACTCAACAAGATGACAATGTTTCCCTTCTTTCAACAACCACACTTGAAATCAACACTATATATTGGCAGAAACCAGAGCAATCTGATACATGCTTAAGTAAAGTATAAAAGAAAACCTCTATCGAAAAAGCAGCTGAATTCGAAAGCTAAAAAAGCAAACAATTTAGCTCAAGATTGAATGAAATGTTACCTAAAAGCAGATCTAAAGTGAGCTTACAATGCCAAAGAAAAGAGAGAGACTTTCTTCTACCCAGCAAGGATCCAATGGCACCCAGTATTCTCCAATCAGCTAAACGCGGGTGTACCGTGCTCGCCTGGGACTGTCCACCACAACCGAGAGCAACCCACCTTCGGCAGCTTCCTGCTCGTCGGCATACAAATCATCCGTCCCCCTAAACGCAGCGTGCAACCCAACAATCGCGAGCCCAATCAGAACCGATACCAGCACGTTCAGCCACACGTGCGTGAAGACCAAAGCCACGACGGTGACGACAGCGAGAGTCCCCAAAACGATGCGGTCATCGACGATTCGGTGGAAAATTACGAGCGGTTCGTCGCGGAAGAAGTAGAGGAAGAACCAGGCGACGAAGACGAGGAGGAAGACGATGAGGGAGACGGGGTGCCAGAGGAGGCTGAGGAAGAGGACGAAGAGGACAAGCATCGTGTAGTTCACGCGGAAGTGGCCGAGGTTGCGCTTGATTCGGACGGTGGCTTCGCCAAAGGTGTAGGGGCGCGTGAAGCTGGAGAAGGGCTGAACGAGCTCGAGCCATGGGCGGCGCGTGGCGAAGAAGGACTGGGTCGTGGCCCTGGCGCGCGTGAATGGTTCGGGCATGGCGGTGGTGAAGGAGGAGGTGGTGGATGGGAGTGCGCCGTAGCGGGGTGGCGAATGTAAAGACATTGGTGCTGGAAGAATAGAGGTTTACAGAAGTTCAAGATGGAAGCAGAGCTGAATTTAAACCCTAGGAGAGAGAAAATGGTGATCAGAACAGGAGAAAAAGAGGGGTAGGTCTCTGTAATTCTTGGTGTGAGACTGTTGTGGTGGCCTGATATTTTGTGCTTTTGGGGAAGGTGATACTGGAACGGCAAGAGATGCGTGATTTGATGGAAGGTTATAGTTGAAGGAAAAAAAAGATTAGATATTCTCGAGGAACAGGACTACCCGGATCTTAGTGACGATTTTAAAATTTTTTAAATCGTGTCTATTTATTGTATATCGTGAGTAAGTTTTTAACAGATATTATTTATATTTAATTTTAAATAAAAATATTTAAAATAATTTATACTCGCATAATGTATAATAAATAAATATAATTTAAAGATTCAAGAATTCTCACAACGAAGATCTGGAAATGATCTCATTCATTCTTGAAAGCCATCTTTTTAACAAAATGTTAATCGAAAAATATTTTTCACATTATGTCTTTAAAACTTTTATATTAATATTTAACAAACATTTTTATATTTGTTATCTATGATATTCGAATTTAAAAATTTCACTTACTTCGACCAATGCTAAATGCTTTCCATTTATGTCAATTTTTTCCATTTAAAAATATTATGAGGATTTTTAAAAGGGTCAGAGGACTTATTTTCAATCCATTCATGAAAATCGTCAAACGATGACTATAGTTAAAGATTTTGTTCAAAAATAAATTATTATTTGTTGTTGAAATGACAGTGTTTAATTTATACGTCAATATGGCATTCATGTAATTTAAAAATGAGTATGTTAAGTGTTGTGTCATAATGTGTTAGGATTAACTTAATGACCAGACCAAAAAGAATGAGCGAATAGTATAAGAGCTGGTTTGATATTGCTGTATTTTGATAAAAAATTGTTTCTGATGTGATGTGAGAATAAGCAACTGTGAAATAAAGTAGCAGAATGTTTGATAAACTTTTTTGTAAAAGTGCTTTTGAAAAAAAAAAAAAAACAGTATTATAATGTTTGGTAAACTTTTATATAAAACAGATGTGAAAAAAAACCGGTTTTTCAAAGCTGAGTTTTGCAGCTTCTTGTTTTTGGCTTTTTTTCATCCAAAACTGTGAAAAAAAACTGAAGTTGAAGTTGAATGTTTACCAACTTTTTTCAGAATCACCTCAGTACCAAACCAAGTCTAAGTAACATAAACTTAGAGTTGTTTGTGCACTTATAGATGTTATTGTTTACAAATCATGAAAGAAATGGTAAGTCTGGACATCTTCCACAATAAACTTGACAGCACTAGTGCAGCCCAAAACTGCCACAACGGAGAACCAAGCAACCGTTGCAAAGTTGAGAAGCAACAAAGAAGGGTACATTTTGGTGTTTTTGGTCTGCCTTCTTCTAGCTTTTAAATATGCCAATGCAGGGAACACAAAGTCCAATGGAGCAGTTTGACATAAAGTCTCAAAAGAAAGGCATGGCTGCTGCAACATTAGTGACAAAAACCATATAGATGGAGGTGAAAAAAAAAGCCGAATTAGGGTTTTTCGGAGCAAAAAATGACCGTGCAAGTAGTTTTTTGTGACATGAATCCCTCCTCGAAATAGGCATACGTTATATCTACACATTATGAAATGTAAAAACAGCATCAGAAGTGAATTCAAAGTTGGAAAAATAGTAGGGGTTTAACATTGCGTTTAGACCAAGAAAATAAATTTGGGATTTGGAAAAGGTAAAAATAGGGTTAAGAAACTCAGTTCAGATCGAGCCACAAAAATTGAACTACAAAAACTGAAAATGCATGAGTTTAGTAGATTAATACCAAACCTTAAGGCTACTTCTCTGCTCTCTCTAAAGCCGACAAACAAGCTTAGAACACTGGGAATCAACAAACTCAGGTGGTTGATTCATATAAACTTCATTGTGTAGAATCCTATTAAGGAAGACATTACGCACATCGAGTTGTTGGAGGGACCAATTATTGGAAACAGCAAGGGCAAGTATGGTTCGAATAGTATCCGGTTTGACCACGGGAATGAAGGTCTCTTGGAAGTCGATGCCTTCTTGTTGATTATTCATACAATCAATCAGACTGAATATACAAATTGATACAATTTCAATACCTTAAAAATACAATATGAGAAAACTAAAAGTTCGTTTTCCATTTTGATCTTGCCGGCCCAAATTTCCTCCCTTACCGTATGATGACATACCCGCCCCGACCCGGCTGCTTCCCTGGTCGAACGCTCAAAAGCGGGATGGGCTATGATCTTGCAGGCCCAAATATCCTCCCTAATCGACTTCCATAAAATCCCCAAAAGGCCCATCCTTCCTGTAAGCAAACACAAAAACCCCAATTCTCCCTTCTCCCCCTCTCCGAAAGTCGCAGTGCGATCCACGCAACAATGGTTTACATAACTTCCTGGGACGAGTTCGTCGAGCGATCCGTCCAGCTTTTCCGCGCCGATCCCGAATCTGTAGGTTACGCTTTTTCTTTTTTCTTGTTTTCTGTTTGGCTTCCGAGAAAATTTAAAGAAATCGAGTGACGTTAGCAATAGTTCTTGATTGCTGCTTGATTTCAGTGCATGAAATCCCTAGTCTTCAATGGTATAATTGATTTTTATCGACTAAATTTTCTTCGAGAAACCATGTTCTCCGTATTCGAATTAATGCTGTTTTAATTACGTTTTGTAAACGAGTATTAGGTGATCGGAATTGATTTTATTAGACTGATATGTAACTTTTTCTAACGCTTGTGATGGATCTGTTTGTTGATGCAGACTCGATACGTGATGAAATACCGGCATTGCGAGGGGAAATTGGTTCTTAAGGTTACTGATAATAAAGAGGTACTAATTGCTTTCCCCTTTGATACCGTGTATTTACTCAATGTGCAATCGTAAATTGGTTTTTTGAGGTATTTATATCATGTTATAGTGCATTGTTTCTCAATTATACTTGTGTTTAAGAACATCGAGTAGTTTTCCGAATTTGGTGTTATTCTTTTAGAGTTCCGTAGTCTCTGCATAGAACTTTGTCTTATGAGTTTTCCTTGGTTCTTTTAATATATGTGCTTACAATTAACTACCGAGATGTTTAGTCCACAAAGAAGTTCTTTACACATAATATTCATAGCTGGTTTTGTACTTTTTGAAGAAAGTAAATGCAAGATTATGTTATGTGTTTTCTACTATTAGTGAGCGCATATTAATGAGAATATGGATATTTGCAAGGAGAGAGGATCCTCGCCGGATCCTCTTTGTGAGGATCTCCGGGATTCTCCAATCATATCCGTTCATCGTACATCGTGGGGTCAGAAATCATTGTAAATTTTTTTATTTAAAATTGAATATAAACAGTACTTGATGATAACTGACCGCACGATGTACGATGAACGGATGTGATTGGAGGATCCGGCTAGGATCCTCTCTCATTTGCGAAATATTAGGTTCACATACTTTTTTTTTGGTTTAGACTAGTGCGGTTGTGTTGGGATTTTTTTTTTCTTTGGGAACTTAGGTTACCTCCTATTTGTGGCAGAAATACCTAGATCAGCTTCCTTCACCTCTGTTTTTAGATTACACAATCTGGTACTGTTGATGTCACTTAATCAATTTCAAGGTGTTCTTTCATGCTCTCTTTTTCACCATTGAGCATAGTGAGATACTTTGATTTTTACATAGGAAAAATTCTTTGAATGCTATGTGAAAATAATACTCGAAGGAACTCTTTTCTTGCCAAATTGGTCCCAAACTGAACTTGAGGCGGCCTTACTGGCGATAGTTTTTAGCTTATGGCAATATTTTTTTTTCTTCTGTCTTACCGTTTGTGTCTTTTTATTGGTGGACAAGTCTTAATTGCAGAAATCTGGGTGAAATTTGACTATATTAAGGTTGTCTTTATGCATTTCAGTAATATGGAAAATCACCTAGGCTTTCCTCATATGTGGAACAGGCTTCATATATCCTGTAGTGAAAACGTGAACTGAAGTGTCTTTTATGGCTGTGCTAGAAACTGGGGATATTTTCTTTAAAACTCAAATTGTTAGATTCAAGAAAATGGATGCATATATCACTTACATCATCGTCGATTACATGCTTGCCTGATATACTCATGTGATGGATCTCTTTGCATTTGCAGTGTCTGAAATTCAAAACAGACCAGGCGCAAGACGCTAAGAAGATGGAGAAACTCAACAACATATTCTTCACTTTGATGTCCCGAGGTCCTGATGGTAGTATCTTTATCCAAGCCTAAATCTTAATTTTTTTCGAAAAGGTTTTTGGCACAACTGTAGGTCCCAGTCCAGTTGTATTTACGTGTAAGCAATTAGATTGCTTGCTATGTGTCTGAACACGAACAGTGGGGTAGCCACCTTTTACCGAAGTTTCCTTTCACTAATTACAAAGGAGCTTTCGGGATGTTCGAAAACATGTTTCAAATGCAATGGAATTCCCTTCCTTGAATTTGTTTCCAGTATGACCTTGATGTTATTAGCACTCTTTCTGCCAAACTAAAACTAATTCACATTTCCTGTTGTTCTCCTTTTGAACAGCGGATCCATCAGAAGTTACTGGGAAAGACCAGATGGACGCACAGCCAACCAAGAAAGGACGGGGAAGAAAACAATAGTTGTGTCGGCGTAATTAGGTTGTTTTTAGGACTGATCTTACAGGGAACCATGGATTACTATTCAGACCGAATTTTTGGAGATGGTTACAGAAGATTGTGGTTCTTTCTTTTCCCCGATGTTCGCTTTTTATTTCATTTTATATATAAAAGGATTGTTGACAACTTCAACTGGTTTTGTCTTGGCCAACATCTTACAATGGTATCAATGACTCCTAGTTATGTTTCAAGAGTTAAATAACCGACCCATTTATAAGTTCATAACTGCCCTCAACTGTGATGAAGATTCTGAGATGAGACTGGCTGGTCGATTGGTGAATTGCAACCAATTGATCAGCCAATCGACCAGCCACTCACATCCTGTAAGATTTGTCTTGGATTTTCTTTGATTTTCTTCTTGAACGTCTGCATTCGATTATTCACAATGGTAGAAAAGGCCGCATCCGATCCCGTTTGATAAAATGAGATCCAACAGGGTTTACAAATCCCCCAAAACATCAAACGAGATCCAACAGGGTTTACAAATCCCCCAAAACATGTGTAGCCCGTTAAAATGCTCACGTGGTTAAGAGCATTTATATATGCATTAGAAGTCTTAAATATGATTCTTCTTTTCGAGTAATCGCTTGTATAAAAAATGAAGCTAGGCAAAGCTTTATTTGAGAGGACGCATGCTAATATTTCATGGCTGCCCTCTAAAAAGTGAGAACCGGGAAGAGCTCTGGATTGTAGACCAAAGACAAAGATAACGTGATTTCCCCTTTGCCAATCTAATTAAAAAAAAAAACTAATGAATAGCGTCTGAAAACTTTGAGTTTTAATAATAAAGACAAAATAAAGGGTAAAATGAATAGTACCAGAATTGACTTTTTAGTGTAAAAATATAATTTTTTGTTAAATTAAACAGTACTGCGGACTTTTCGTTAAAATTCTCTCTAATTAAGGCCTTACGGAGCCCAATCGGATCCCAATGCACTCTTTCCCTTTCTTTCTTTCTTTCTTTCTTTCTTTCGTTTACTTTATTTTTTGGCATGAAAAAAGGATAAAGTTGTTAAAAATCAAATCCATGCATGTGATGGGCCACAAAAGCTTGTGAAATGTTTGCTCCCAAAGAAAAGATGGCGTGTGTAATCGGGGTTTTTGGGAAGCAAATATTCTTCAATCAAAGTTAAAGAGACAGACAGACCAGATGGACAATGGGACAGAATGTCTTGGAGGACAAGGTGGATTCATTAACGTTACCAGGACCATTTTGTTCACACATTCTTTTAATTGTATTTTTGGAATACCGTCATGTTGTATACCAAGTTAACTGATTCTTAATATTATAATTATAGTATGTTGATTCGATCATACCACGTGATTGTATTTCAATACTGTTGTGCAATAATAGTTAGGGTGGTGCTATTCACACATTTATGTTTATCTCTTGCACATACTTCTCAAATTCTAACAGTTAGATCGAATGAATTGAACAAAATCAACAGACATAAATAAACAAAGTGTGTATGTAGGGTTTCAAGATGCCTGACTCTCATGCAGACGCTAACGTGAGCTGGAGGGGGTTTGATTCTTCAATCAAGCAACAAGAAGGAAATCATTAGTTTGTATATATAGAAGAGTGAGAGAGAAGGGAAGGAAAAGAAAGATGGAACAAAGAAGCTTTTGCGATTCCTCAAAGATCTTTCAGTTTACAAATCCAATCGTCCACGTTAGTTCCTTCTTAAATAATGAAAGAAATAAAAAATAATTAAGGAAATGGAAAATAATGCAAAGTTACTTAACTTTTCAAAGTAGAATAATTCTCCATATTCTCATTGGTCCGTCCACGTGTGGTGATAGTTAAACTACACATGTAAACAATACATGTTGGGTGATGTAGCTGCATATGTGACTTTTAAACTTCACGCGTGAACAGTGTACCAATATCCTCATATACTATGAAGGAAAAGGATTCCTCCGTAAAACAAGTCCACAACAATGAATAGTAACTAAACTCCTTATAAGCCTGTATAAGATTCGTTAACTTCCCGATTTAGGACAATTCTCAACACCTCGCAAATAAAACTATAGATAAAGAAAAAGGGAAAAAAAGTAAAGTATCGGTGTTTTCATGGCTCTACATTTTGGATAAAGTAAACCTTTTGACCTTTAAGATCTGAATTGTTCCCGACTTAAACGTCGTAAAGTATGAATTCGTGCACTTTGAGTGGGAAAAACCATGCTTTAATCCAACTTTTCTTTCTCTACTTTTTATTACTCGTAATTATGTTTTTATTCTTTTTCCTCTTTTTTTTTTTTCTTCTGAAAATTTAACGTTATGATCACACTAATGTAATTTGCATCCTTGGGTGATATAGAATTGTGTTATTTGGGTTATTGAATGTTTTGATCTCTTAAATTCATGCATGGTGAAATACTGAAAGTGTTGGAATTGCTTCATTCTCCGAACTTATGTTTATAAGCCTTGAGCATGATTGGCTCAGAGAGTAGCTGGAGTAGGCAGGCCGATTAGGGTTCCCACTTTGAAGGGGCCTCAATTTTTATATATTTAAGTTAATATTACAAATATTGTGTTTGTTCAAATAAGAAGTTTACAGACTTTGAATCTTTGTCTAAACACAATAGCCAGTTGAATTGAGTGGTTGAGCCCAACATTTGTAAAATTTATTTGTTTTATATAATTATTAAATAAAAAACAACATACCTGTTTTGTACGTGAAAAGTGAAATATCAAGTTACTCAAACTTGTTCTTTTCGACTTCAAAAACAAACATGTTTACTTTTTTGGTCGCACTCCCTCGATTGCCAAACACCAAACCCAAAGGGGGCTTTTGTTGCGCCGGACTATCTCGGATTGGATTAGCTTCAAGGACTAAGCTGGACTGGCTTAGACTAGACTAAACTGGACTAACTTAGTGAAGCGTTTGGTGTAGTATTGGACTAAGAAGCTGGATAATAACAAATTCTAATATTATATTATTTAATATATAAATTATTAATATTTTATTATGATCTTATCTTTTTCTCCATCTTTTCCTACCATTTCCGTCCCACTCTTTTCCTCTTCTCTCATCGTCCCACCCTCTCCCTCTTTTTTTCCTCTTAGACCTCTCAATTCATGTCTCTTTCTCATTCCTGGTCAAACTCCTTATTGATTCCAGTCTCTATTTCTCTGTCCTCCCTCCCTCTCTAGCTATACGTTGTTCGAACGGAACCTCACGGCTTCAATTTTCCCGACGAGTTGCAGGTTTCCCGATGTGTTTTTTGGCCAACCCTCGTTAAATTGGATGAAGTTAGCACCACCAAAAAATTCATCACCATCCCTGGACCGAGATCTTAGCTTTGAATGCTCGAATCTGTCATGGATTTGAAGAAGCCCAAACAGGCCGAGACTTCCAGGCCATTTTCCTGTCACATTCGACCACATTTTAGCCTCGATTCAGGTAAAATCGTAATCTTGTCACTCCCAGCTTCAATTTGGTATATTTTATATGAAAGTTGGTTGCGAAATGGATCTGAAAGAGAGTTGGAAAGTTAATGATTGATCTAGGTGACCGGAGATGATGAGGAGTCTGTCGGGAGTGGTCGTTGAGCATGACGAGGACGAGAAAGAGAGGATAGTCTTAGCTAGTCCCATGGTTATTGAGGGGTCTCGCTAAGACCTCTTAGTGAAGGGTTTTGTCCATGCTAGTCCCCTTTAGTCTCATTAATGTTAGTCCCAGCATGGAACAAACACAGTATTGGACTAATAGCTAGTCCAGTCCAACTTAGTGAGGGCAAACAAACGCCCCCTAAACGGCTAAACCCAGCCTTTGTCACATTCCCCAAAACAAACACCAAATTCTAAACATCTGTGTCTATTCTAGAGCTCCACTTCGAAGGCTCGCCTAGGGACCCAAATTAACAAGAACAGCCCCGGCCTTATGTAGTATGCATATAAGTGTGTTTTCATACGAGGCGGATCGAAATTTGTTAATTCCAATTTCAGTCCAAAAATGTTTGGAATAACTGTTTTCTTCTAGTTTTGTGTCAACTTCTATTTTTCGAATGTCTGTTTCATTCCGAACTCGAAATTTTCTGTCAAAAATGAAGGGCAAAGGTTGCTTTGCTCCAATCCACTACAACAATTATAAGTTTCCACCAAAATAAGAAAGAAACACGTGATTGCTAATTACATTTCACTTAACATCGGTCAGTTTCTATATGTAGTCTTGTTTTTTTTCTTCTTTTTTTTTTACACAATCAATATTGAAGAAAAGGAAAGCGACAATCGCCCTAATCTTACGATCATAATATAATGGTTTTTTTCTTCATAATCATAATATAGTTGTTGAACATTGTATAATGGTTATTTAAAAGTTAAACATTTTCACAAGGCATATATAATGATTAGAGGTGCAACTTGAGTTAGGTCAACCTGGATCCGTCCATGTCCAGCCCAATTTCAAATCCTATTGGACGGGTTAGATGAAGAAAAATCCGCCCAAACCCAACCTCAACCCAATCATTTCTTCGGTTGGGTTGGGTTGAGTGAATGCCTTTCTCGTCTCTGTGAACCCAAGCCAAACCTGATTTTGAGCCTCAATTCTCTCATGCACATATTACCCATTCCACTTCATTTTTTATAAATTATATGTAAGTTTTGGAATGACAATACTTCAAGTAGTTGCTTTTACATTTATTTTGATTGAAATTTTGTATACATCTTGTTATTTAATTTTAATTTTGGATTGTTGAAATATTTAATAGTTTACAAATTGTTTGCTTTGACTTTTTGTTGGATTGATAACGTGCAAATGAAAATGTAACTAATTTTTTTATTCAAAATTTAAAAATTATGAATATTAATGTGTTATAACTTATAAGATTAAACTGAATAAAGTTAGACGAACTTAAATTTAATCCGAATAAACCCAAATTCAATTAAAACCCAAATCTAACTAAACTTGCATGACCCGAACTAACCTAAATTTGAATTGTATAAATTAGGTTAGGGTTTGTTGACCATCTATCCGCACGAGTTGCATTCCAATAATAATCATGTAAGATCTCTAATTAGGCATTACATCATATTATTAAGTGAATTAATTTTTAATCGAAAGTGAGCTGATTACGCCAATCAGAGAGAGTAAAGTCAACGGAGGTAGGACCGGTGGGACCCCATGGCGGGTCCAGTCACCGAAGCAACAGTGTCTCCCCGGCGAAGGATACAAATTGTCAAGCAGTCACAACGGCACATCGTTTTACGTGTCAGACTTTAGGGTTCAGTTTTACACGTGTTGATAAATGATTAACCGTCCTGGCAACGGCTATATTGGATGCTCTCGAGTGCTGGACTAGGCCTTGGGCCCCACTCTTGAACGGACGTTGAGATAAGCCGCGCTGCAGAGGGAAAATAAGACTTCGAAGCAAAGTAAGGAGCAAAAGCTTTTGCTAATGTCGTGCTATTTTTCTTTCTTTTTTTAATATTTTTTTTTTACTACTCAACGAGATCGAAATCAATTTGTTTATTTAATTTTTAATATAAACATATCGTTTGAATGAAAATAAAATACAAGAAAAGCGTGAGTCAATTTTAATTTTTTTTCTTCATTAGGCTGATTCTCACTTTTCTTTGTTCATAAGATCGATTGTTCAATCACTATCTTGATTTAAGGTGTCCACCGTATTAACAATATTCTCTTTATAGATATCGTAATTATAATATCAACAGTTAAGTTACTGAATATTTTCATGGTTATCGAGAAAAAATTATTGTGTATAAGGGTGACATCTAAATCGGTGAACATAGCATGTTATATTCTAAGGTTTAGATTTCAATTTTTGAAGAATAAACGGAATATAATATGACCACCCTTAACTATTTAGTGTAGTGACATGTAATCACTATTTTATTATAGTTAGTCATTATTTAAATCTAGTTAAGTAAAATGTTCTAGCAATTGATGTAATTTGACAAAAACAACTTAACCATTTGCTTTTCTTTCAAAAAATTCAAGATTAAGCAACGAAAGAGAGTTGCATCTAATCTTTGTTATGACGAAGTTCAAGCCTCCAAGTTGTTAAACAATAGTAGATTATCAATCATCACTTGATATAATGGCACTTGAACGTCGTTTTGTTGAATGGTGAATTCAAATCTTATCAACGACGGTTGGTGAATAAAAATTAAACAAAGAAAAGAAAAAAAACTTTGATCTTTACAACTTACCCAACTTTACCATATATTACAACATTGTGCATTTGAGTTGTTTCTTATTTGGCGAAATGGTACTTTAACTGGTACTTTGCTTAATTTTATGAGAAAATTCAAACTTGAGCGCAAGGAAGCAAGCATGATACCCTGTACAATTGACCAAACGGACGTTTATGCATGTGACTACGTTCAAACAAGTGTCATTTTACACAGAAAAAGAAAGACATGCAGACAATCGATGAATGGACTATACGAAACCGTCTTTGTCCTCATTTTCTGACCCCCAATCCAAATTTGCAGAGACTGCACAACATGCAGAGAGGCCAAGCGAAATCTAGCTCTTCAACAACCCTACCATTATCTGATAACTCACTAAGCACACGAGAGATTCAACAGTGTAACCGCTCATATTCAAAGAAATAAAAAGAAAGATATATATATTATCGGTTACACCGTAAATTTGGTCAGAGCACACAGCTTTTTTTTTAATGCAAGTTACAAAAGTAAAGCTGGATTTAGTGGTCTTGCTCTCTCATGAAGGAGGAAAAAATTACCAAATTTAAAAACTTGAAAATTGAATTGGGGGGAAGAGAAAGAGGAAAAATCAAATCTTGAAAGAAAACAAAGAAAAAGTGAAGGGAGAAAAATAAAAAGAAAACTTCGTGTAGACCGTAAAAGCAAAGGCTCACTTTAACATTTTGTGGACGTCTGTGTGGAGTAGAGGAAGACCATTTCCGAAAAGAGAATGACAAGGGTCTTCAATCCGGGACCCCCCGCCTTCATATCTGTGACATAGGCGGCAGTTTCATCTCTCCATTTTATTTCTCTCTCTCTCTCTCTCTCTCTCTCTCTCTCTCCTTCTGGCACTCGGTGTTTATTTATATCTCCTCTCCTCTCTGTCTCCTCTGTTCAAATCTTTGGGTTTCTCCCTCAAGAAAAAAAAAGGGTAATTTATATTAATAAAACAAAGATGGTGGCTTTGGCTTTGTATTCTTGTGGCAGTGTGATTTCCATCAAGCGCAAAGCAAAAGTCTTCTCCTTCACACCTTTCAATCTCAAAAGCATGAATTGAGAATCTAGGGTTTGAAAGCATCAACTCCAACAAGGTCCGTTCGTTTGCGTCTCTTGTTTTCTTCCCTCAATCAACTGACAATTTTACCAAATTTCTTTGCTGTAATGTCTTGATTTCCATCTGGGGTTTCCTCTAATCTGACAAATTTCATAAACCCAGTTGGTTGTTTCATCTCCTGGGTGAAATTTCATTAGAAAGTTGAATACTTGTGGGTAAAAGAATGGGATTTTGGTTATCTGGGTAGTTGATTTATCTGCTGTGGATTGCTGAACATTCTATAAATTAGGTTGGTTTGCTGAGTTTTTGGTGTGTTTTGTGTAAATTTTTAGCCTTTTCAGGATTTAAAATTGTGGGTTAATTATTTTTGGTAGTTTTGGTAGATATGGAGGAAGTTGAAGAAGCTAACAAAGCAGCCGTTGAGAGCTGCCATAGAGTTCTTAGCCTCTTGTCTCAGCCACAGGATCAAGTTCAGTATAGGAATCTAACGGTGGAAACTGGAAAGGCAGTGTCTAGGTTTAAGAAAGTTATTTCCATTCTCAATACTCGTTTAGGTCATGCTAGAGTTAGAAAGCTCAAGAAGCTTCAAATCCCTTTTCCTGAAAGAATCCTTTTGGATAATCCTAACTCGATTGGGGACCGTCCATCCAAAACTCCCCACTTTCTTCAATCTAGATTTCCTGAAAACCCAACTCAAGATTTGAGTTTAGATGTTAAAAGTTCCTTGTGTTTGGGGAATCCATCGTTGGAATTGAGTGCTAATGGGAAAACCCCAATTCATCCTGCCCAACAAGTGCCGCCGGCGCAATATCACTTCTTTCAGCAACAACAGCAACAGCAACGTCAACAACAACAGCAACAGCATCAGCAGCAGAGGATGTTACTTCAGCAGCAGCAGATGAAGCCCCAAACAGAAATGATGTATCGTGGGAGCAATAGCGGCATAAATCTGAATTTTGATAGCTCTAGCTACACACCTACAATGTCATCTACGAGATCCTTCATTTCTTCCTTGAGCATAGATGGAAGTGTGGCTAACTTCGATGGTAATTCCTTCCATTTGATCGGGGCTCCTATCTCTTCAGATCAGAATTCACATCACAAGAGGAAGTGTTCTGCTAGGGGAGACGATGGGAGTGTTAAATGCGTTGGTAGCAGTGGTAGATGTCACTGCTCAAAGAAGAGGTCGGATTTGTCTCCTTATGCTCTACTTGGTTCAGTAATATCTTGTAATGCTTCTGTGTCCTGTCATGGAGGAGCAATTATACTTGCTTTTTAACTATTTTATGTTATTTATGTTCTGCTGCCAGGAAGCATAGGGTGAAAAGGTCAATTAAGGTGCCTGCTATCAGTAACAAGCTTGCAGATATCCCTCCTGATGATTATTCATGGCGGAAATATGGCCAGAAGCCAATCAAGGGCTCCCCTCACCCTAGGTATCATATTTCTGCATTTCGAATGAGAAATTGATTTCATTTGATGCCCAATATCTTCTTCCAATGCTTTGTGTATAATATGCAGAGTTGATAATTAGCATGGTTGAATATTGAATGTAGTGATTGTTAGTGTTAACCTTTTTCTGTGTATTTTTTTTTTTTTTTTTTGGGTTGAAAAACGGGTCTATAATCAAGAGCCCAAAGAAACCTACTCAATAATAAATCTAGACCAGGACATCCCAAGTCGATCCTCATGAATACTTTTCTGTGTATTTTTCACATACATGATCAAGGTTCTAAAAGGCGCTAGTCAGGCAGCAGGCAGGGGTTGTGGCCTAGGTGGTTTTTTAAATTTTAATGAAATTTTTATCCATAGCTTTTTTACAATCGAATTTAGGGTCAAGATTTGTTCAAAGAATTCACGTTTGAATATGACATGTGATTGATATTTGATGAGGCTTGTTAAATAAACTTTCAAGTTTTTTCGACACTTCTATGGAATTTCGTGTTTATCCATATGCTTGGAAATCAAATGTCCGAAAGAATCCAAGTTGAATATGACGTGTAATTGATATTTGATAATGCTTGTTGATAATGCTTGTTGGAAATGAAATGTCGAAGATCAGAGACTTTTATGTTAAAACTTCTCGAGAACTTAATTAACTATTGAAGCTCCTTTAACTTGTGCAGGGGATACTATAAATGCAGTAGCATGAGAGGTTGTCCAGCAAGGAAGCATGTCGAGAGGTGCTTGGAAGAACCCTCGATGCTTATTGTTACCTATGAAGGTGAGCATAACCACCCAAGGATACCATCGCAATCCACAACAACGTGACATTCGTGGAGAGCCTTGCCGAGCTCAAGCCCAACGGTCACTTTGTCAAACCCTTATCTATGTTCGGCTTGGGATGCTCCTGTACATATATTTGCATGGTTCAAGCATGACCTACAAATTGGAGCAGCTATTTCGGCTTTTGGAAGTTGACTCTTTCGAGCGTTTTTGCATTTAGGCATGCGGGCATGAATCCCCAGCGGGGGAGACTCAAACAAGTCTGTAAAATTAGGTCATCGTCCTATAAGAACTGTTTTTTTATTTATTTATTTTCTGTGTTCCTTTTAGCAATCAGTGCTTCAAACCATTTAGGGTTTTTGGAATTAATGAAATGCCTTTGATGTGGTACTTTTGGTTTTCATTTTCTACCTTCATTGTTTATACGTTTGGGTGATAAAGTTTGTTGTGAATGGTAGATGGTTTTAGGAAGGATGAATTAGAAGCCAAGTCACAGGTGGTCCTGTTTACCAAATTGCTCCTGCTTTCAATTGTTGTGGGGAAAAAGAAAAGTAAGTTAGGTGTGACTAATGAGGGGGACCAAGATGTGTTGTTGTTATTCCTTCAATCCAATCAAACCAAAATGATATTTTTGGGTTCAACTCCCAGATATGGGGTCGATTCTTGCACAGTCGGGGATATAGAATGTTTTCTTGTAGTATTCATCACATTAGTCGATGTCTCCATATTTTTGTATCACTCATCAAGTGACGTGAATATATAATTGCATGCACAATAAACATAGTTTTAGGTAATTTATCCTTACTCTTCCGATAAAGATACTTTGGTAGTGTTATCATACAAAATGATAACACTATCAAAATATTTTTATAAGTATGACAACTCTCACATGTGGTGAGACTAGACCAAACCAAACGTACAATTGCGTGAGTGAAATAAAAAAATGCAAAATAACTCTCATACTTTAAATGCTTTACGAATGACCTGGTTAGTACATTCTACCCAAGTTAACTTTTTTCCTTTCAGTTAGCAAACTTTGAGGAGAATTAATGGAGAATCGAAGTAGGTAAAAAGACAGTTGCTGGAAGTGGTAAATATTCATTATTTGGTTGGTGAATCTTGGGAGCTTGTAATAAAGGAAGTGATATGGCTCAGTACGCTACCAAAACGATGTAGAGAATGAAAAGATGACGTGTTACAACAGAAAAATCATTTTTTTCCCTCCTAATTTTTCTCTCATTCCCTCCCTCCCCTCCTATGAACGATTACAGTTAAGCACAATGAAATGCTTGTTGCGGCAAGTAGCCATTTACTACAGTGATGGAAATGTGTTAAGTCCTTGCATGACAGTATTGCTTCAAACCCTATGAATGGCTAATTTAAAATCTAATTTAACAAAACCTATCATTTAACAGAAGGAAAAAAAAAAAGAAAAAAAAAAAAAAAGATTTTTGCTGACCTCAAACATTTTGTCTTCTACTGTTTTTGCTTTTGGGGTTTGCAGAGAAAATTAAATTTAGGGGATCTCATTTTTTCTAAATTTTTTAGTATGTGTTTGTATATAAAAAACATCGACATTTGTCATCACTAAATCTTTGTTGGTTGGATCATTGGTTGCAGATTTGATACTTTATTGATATGATGTATGTCATACACTAACGCAATTAATTTCTTCTAAATATGTTATAGATTGAGTAGAGCAATGCGCGCGCCTCCTAAGTTTGAATTTATTTTCCTGCTAGATACAAATAGGGGAATATTGGAAAATCGTTTTCTTGAAGGTCAATGGCGTGTTGTAGCAGTCATGAGAAGAAAGTCAACGAGATTGGATGAGGTTAAAACTTAATCGCACTCAATATTTTGTAAGAAGATTAATAATGTCTAATTAGTGATTATGGTTGCTGCAACGTTTTCCAAATCTTTGATTCACCGCTCCCTAAACCAACCAGAGTATTATGTTATTACGCAATCAATAATTAATATAATTATTTAAATTTATTTTAATATTCTTGAGTCTTGACAATCAATCAACCGGTACTCTTTAGTCTTCTTTTTTGGGCTTTAGTTTTAAGCCCAACCCAGAATTTGGTTTTGATTGAGAAATTTTTTGTCAAGTCTGTTGAATGGACCAGCCTAATATCCATGGTGGGTTGACTAGTTGACCCATGACCCATGATTCAAAGTTGTGACATTAGTGTTCATATTTCTTATTTATGTTTAATTTTAATTAAAGGATTACAATGGTAATTTTATGATTTTCGAAGTTAGCACTGATTTTCGAACTCTTATTTTCCATAAAACTATTTTTTTAGCTATTAAATTAAATATGTCAAAAGCGTCAAAAGATTAATTAAAAAATAAGTGCAATAAAGAAAACGAAAATATGATAATCACAACACATACCGTAATAAAACAAGGAAAGAGAGGGATGCTTGGTGTTGTTGTATGGAAAGAGATGCCCTCCGGATCTCTTCCTCTAAAATTCAGGAATCAAGTGATCCGGATATTTAAAATTTAATCCAACGGTATAAAATTATTATAGCTTTTAAAGGATCAGATGACCCATATCGTTTGATCAAATTTTAAAAACTCAGATCTCAGAGAAAGAGACCTGCAGAAGATATATTTCCTTGTTGTATCGTCCAGTCAAAAACTCTTAATCATGTATGACGTACGTGCGGGACAAAACAAAACCAAAGTAGCACGAGTCCCCACTGGTGGGCGTCTTCTTCTTTGTTCCCTTCTCTTCTACCAACGTCTCCTACTAGTCAACATGATTTACCTTTCAAATGCAAAACAAAAATATTCTAGTGCCCTATGCTAAATTTTGTTAAAACCCGTCGTTGATGCGTGCGTGAATATCAAGGATGAATTATTACTAATCTAACATGTAATATATCAAAATATCGAATGAAAGAGTAAATCTTCTTAATCTAAGTAACTGAGCTACAAATCCGTTACGGAATTTGATTTGTTAAAGGATATGCATCATAACTGCATATACAAAAGGGAAAGAGATTTCATGTACAAATATCATAATTAGTTCATGCTAAAATAAGTAAATAAAAAAGATTAAGAAGTTGCCACAAATATCCGAATCAATAAAGCTCAGGGCAAACAGAATTAATAGTCGGTAATTAACTTTTAATCGCGCCCTCAACATTTTTATCCTTTCTATTCCCGTTTTTACAAAAACTGTACACATGTGATGTAGAAATTAAGAGTAAACGCCAAGGGCAAAAATGGAGAGTCACCCCAAATACTTCCACCAGAAAAGCCTAAACCACATCGGCGGCCGCTCAGAACAGCGGCGCTGGCAGATTCAGATCGAACAAGAACGGCTTCTTCTCCTTCCGCATCTTCTTCTCCTCCTCGCCCACCACCACGTCCACATTCTCAAGCATGTACCCTGTATACTCCGACCTAACCGGCGCCACCGCCGGAGCTCCGGTCATAACGTACATCAGCGGTGGAGGCCAGAGCATCTCAGAGCCGCCGCCGAGGAGAAGCGAGTGAGGCGGAGCAAGAGCGAGATTACCGAAGTTGGTCTTGGCCTTGGAACCGCGGAGGCTAAGCGCGGCCTCGTCGTACGCACGCGCCGCCTCCTCGGCGGTGTCGTAGGTGCCGAGCCACTTTCGAGTCTTCTTCCACGGATCGCGAATCTCGGCGGCGAACCGTCCCCACGGCCGCTTCCGCACGCCTCTAAAATGCGGATCCCTTCCCCCGCCGCCTTTACCGGGCGAAGCGTGCCTGGGCTGAGCTCGAAGCTTGCGAGGCGGAGGCGAAGGCGGTTCAACGGCGAGGGAGAGTGCGGTGTCGCGGAGGTGGAGCGCGTCTACAGTAGACATTGGGTGGACCGTGCGGAGAGAGAAAATGGGGGCGAAGACTCGAGTGAGTTTAGGGTTGGCGTTTTGGAGGGTATTTATAGGGGAGGAGACAGTCTGGGTTAACGCCGACAGCTTTGGCCTTCGGGGTTGAATTAAAAAATATTATTTTTTATGAAAATATTTTTAAATTAGTAAAATACTAAATTGGAAGGTAAATGGGTTGAATAAGGTAACGAATTTAATTTATGCCAAATCAGATAAATAATACTAGTGATCATAAGGTATTCGGATAATAACTTATGTGGTAAAAAAATTCGGATATATACCCTTGTGCTGAAATCTATTAGGATTTGTGTCCAAAATGTAACTTTTGTTCTTCCTCCATTAGCCTGCATGTGAGTTTCTTCGCCCAAACCGATGCGCTCTCTCTCCCCCTTTGGACCTCTGATTCGACGGTGATCACCCAAGATAGAAGGGAACGCTCTCCAAATCGATTCCCACTCTCTCTCCATTTGGTTCTTCAATTACCGTAGTTTGTTGTAGTGATTGAATTCCTCTTTTACGAATTCCAATTCTTGTTTTTGTTTCAATTGTTGTGATTGAATTGCTTGGGCATCCTCTGATTTGGGTTTGCAATTGTTTGGTTCCAGAAATCGAAATTTGACAAAGTTGGGTGTTTTGTGTCAGATTTTGTTTACAATTTAAACCGTTTAATTCATGATTTGTTCTATGCCAATTCAAATTTTCTGTGGATTTGATTGGTTTGATTTGGTTCTTGAACCCAATTTTTTTTTTTTTAATGTTCTTGAATTGGGCCAAGAAAATGTGGGTTTGGTAGGAATTTTGTCTAAATATTGATGAGTAATTTCGTTTCGTATCAGTATCAAAATGCTGCTTTGGTAGAACAATTTGTTAGAAACAACATGCGGCAACATGCAATTTTGTTTGTAACGAACGCATGAATCCAGCTATTGCAGGAATTGTTTTGTTTGTTTGCTTTCCAGTTTCAAGGAGATGTCTCCAGCATCATAAAGAAGACTAGAAAAGAAACCAGGTACCTTTAAAGCTTTCGACGGGTGTTGGGAATGCAGGTTCTGGGATCCCAGCCATTGCATACAATCTACTTTTCGGAAAAGGACGGAAGTTAAGTTTTGGGGCATAAATCCGAATAAACTTTATCACGAGGGTTTAAATTTGAAATTTTTTTATCATAGAATCTATCATCCGAATACTTTAAAACCACAAAGATTATTTATCCAATTTGGCCTTTAATTTAAATAGGCTTGACGCAACGAAGGCATTCGTGTAAGTACGAGATACTGTGGGGGGTATAAATTATCGAATATAATTAACGTGTTTTGCCCAAATCCAAACACTTCTTTTTGTTAGTTTACATTTGGGATTGCAGACCAACATTTATAATTGTCGGTTTCTATGTGACAGCTAAAACGAACGTGGATTGGTTTTGCATTATCTTTGAAGTTGGTTATTCTCTCTGTTTAATACTTTGCTTGTTACCACTTAATATTACGATTCAGTGGTATTCTTATTCATTTATAAATAAGATATCTTAGATTCGATTATTGCCAAAGACGAATTTGAATGACATTATTTCTATTAGTGTAGCGTAGACTCAATTCACTATCTCACTCTTTTAGTGTAAATAATATCGTTTGTTCAAAAAAAATATATATATATTTGCTTGTTGTTTCACGATTTGCTTGATAAACTAGGTTTTGGTGAAATGAGGGTTGTTTTGAGTTAGGGTCTCAAACTTGATGTACGACGACAATTTGTATTTGTAGTAAGTTTGATACCTTGAAGCAAATAAAGCCATATTAATAAGGTGAAGTTATAATATTAACACGAAAATTATACTTAAATATGAGTTGATGAAGAGTCTATAAGGAGTCCAATTCTTGAAAGAGCCTCCTTAGGCCATCTCCAATCGAAGGAAGGCAAGATGGCTCATTTTAGACCTATGTCCCTCCAATAAATTAATATTTTAATGAACAGTGCATAACCATATTTCTTACTATCTCCAACCGAGGGCCATAAGGCCAAACATAGTCCTGTCACAAAAAACCATCTTCAACCGAGGGTCAAAGGGCCACAGGGTCAAACATAATTTATTATTTAAATTTATAAATTACAACAAGGAACCGATAAGAGAGTGGAGTTAAGAAAATTTAGACTTCATCATGATGTCTTGCATCATATTACACAACATGATTATGGAGGATGAGCGAGATGAGTATATTGATGGAGAGTATGATAACGACCAAGAGGATCCAAATAGGTCAAGAAGGGCCTGTGCAAAAATATATGATGGTCCTAATTTGTCTTTTAATTCAAGAACTGGTAGTATCTCTTTAAATGAGTACATGAGGCGATATAGGATAATACGTTATGTGCCACAAACAAGTACCTACAACAAGATCTTGTTGCACATCTTTGGGCCAAAAGAAGCATGGAGTAGGCGTTTAAGTTTTATGTTGTTAAATGTTTTTTTTATGTTGTTTCATTTTACTTATAGAGTTTTTCATTTTCCGTTGCATTCAAATTGCGGCCTGGCCTGAGATCGGTCAGGCTGGCTAGATTGGGCATGTCAGTTGGCCCTTTGATCATTTTTTATCTAGTAAGATTCATAAATTTTTTGATCTAGCCCTCAGTTGGAGGCCGAGTTATTTTTAACCCTGTGACTGTTATGAACAACTCTTCTGAACACTTCAGTTAATGATGACCTTAGCGTCTCTCATTTAATTATTAGCAAATTCAATTGTAAAACAATAAAAAGTTGTCGTGATGTTGGTGAGTCAAAAGTCGAAGCGCTCGCAAGCACCCAAAAGTAAATGAATCGGCGGCAAAGCGGTGGTAGGGCTTTCGAAAAAGACGAGGAGGGCACGAGGAGCACGTGGGGAAGAAATGAACGATGGCAGTCTTGGGTGAATGCGGTGTTGGGGCCCCATATTTGTCTCTCACTGACTGACACCGCTGACACTATCATTACCTAAGCTTGAAAGTTTCCCCCCGCGGAGTCGCAGCACACCGCGCAGACTACAGTACAAATTCACGCGCAGACAGACTTTCTTTTTACGTTTCAGTCCATCTTACATGCTCGACTGCAGAAAATTACTTGGGGAACGTAGCCTTACCAAGTCATATTATTTCAAATTGGACTAATTTCAAATTAAGCTGAACCTGATTGGTTTAAACTAAAGCAGAAAACTACTTGGATAACCTAGCCTGGTCTTGGAATAAAATATTTTTGTCTTAATATTTTTATTTTGCCATGGAACTAGACTTTGTAATTTGTCACTATCCTACAAAACGTTGCTGTATTACCCTCTTCATCCCCCTTTTTACAAAAAAGCATCAATCACAAACTTTGCACGTATCAAACTGATTCGAATTTCACCTTCAGGTTGTACACCGCTGATTTGACGTCCATGGAGACCTTGAACGGTTGGAGGCAGTTGGCGAAGAGGAGGAGGAGGAATTCGACTTTAGAAAGGTCTGGATCTGTGTTCAGAAGTTCCTAGAGGGCGATTTTCGAGACATTGAAATCCAAGCATCCCTTGTGGGTGAACGAACTCATCGAAGGGATTACTGGGCGCTAGTCGGATTGGATCAAGGAGAATTAGATCTCGAAGGAGCAGAAAGAGAAGAAAGCGAGGAGTGAGAGATGAGGAAGGGGAGGGGGAATTGACGAAGGGGGAACGATGACAGCTCCGTTTGTGAAAACATAGAGCAAAGAGGCAGAAGGGAGTTAGTCCCCGCAAATCCCATGGTTCTCGACAGGTTTCACTAGCGAGGGAGTTAGTCCATGCATGTCCCATTTAGTCTCATTTAACTTAGTCTCTACACTTAACAAATACAAGATTATACTAATATGTAGTCCAATCTAATTTAATGACAGTTAATGAGGTCAAACAAACGCACCCCGAATGTCTCATGCTTGTATTAGAAGAGATAAGAAGCTTTGCCTTGCGAGAAAAATTTGGACAAGGCAACTTGATAAGTTATGTGGTCAAAGATTACAAAGGATAAGACTTTGTTGTGTTTGGATACCATTACCGCCATATAGATACAACATGCATCACCAAACACGTAGTCATATCATGAAATTTAAACACAGAGCAATATACTCAAGTGACAACTTTTCTCCGACAAAACCTTATACCAACAAGGCATGTTTGGTATGTTGGCTAGGGATTGGACAAGGCAACTCGTTGTGCGTCAGCTTCAGGCATTCACCTATCCCTCGCGATCTCACTATCAAGTATTCAAGGTATGAATTGAACTCTGAATCTCCCTTGACAACTCTTTTCATTTTTTCATATGGGTTTTTTGAATTTAAGAAAGTTTTCTCTTCACAAGGTTCAATTTTAATTGTTTTCTCCTAAGTTGGATGATTAAATTTTGAATCTTTTAATTTCCCCAAATTCACATGGAAATGGGTTTGTGGTTGTTTTATGGGAGTGGAAGAAGGCAATGACATCTGCTCAACTAAAGGTTTTTTTTTCAATGGTTGATCAACAATAAACAAGCGTATACGAGATTGGAGGGTTCGGGAGTTGAAGTTGAGCACTTGCTTTTAAAAGCACAAAGCGGGGGTGGATGGTAAAGGATCATCTCACCTAACCGTTGCATTTGTGTAGTCCGTCTTTCACCACACACCCACGCATTTGTACATATGTGCAACTTCTTTGGGTTTTTTTAGATGTAATAAATTGGAATTATGCATAGGTATATGAGAAGACGATGTTTCAGAAGATTAGCACTGAGTTTGACGAGCGAATGATTATGTGAGTTGAACTTTCCATGCAAGGTCAGAAATTTAAAGTTTTGGTCCAGTTTTGTAATGCCCAATTTCAATTTTGAGTTTTGTTTAGGTTTGACGAGAAAATATGCCCGCGCGTTGCTGCGGGACTTGAACGCACTCACCTTAACTGCATGAATAAGACACATTCAACCTGAATAAATTAAGACACATGCACCATGCACTCATCTCAGAGAGATAAACAAAGATACCAAAAACGGAGAGGCAATGTCACATTGTTTTGCATGATCTTTACACACACGTACCCTAAAAGTAAGAGTGTAAAATCTACGCTAAAATAAACAACTAAGTATGAGCAGGACCTCGTAAAAAGTAGGTGATCATATGTGTTCTTCAACTGTCTGTCGAACCTGAAATCAACGAAAGTGATCCACCGTAAAAAACATGGTTAACCACCATGTATTGAAGCTATATATAATCATTGAAGAAAACCTTTTACATCCAGCACAAAGCAAACTATAATCGAAAATGCAGATAAATAAATAGAGAAAAAAAAAAAAAGGAAGGAGAAAAAAAATAGTCGAAATTTCTTTTATGTCCAGCAATGGAACCAATAGAGATTGTGTAGAAACAATGCAGTAAACCACCATGTATTGAAGCTATATATAATCATTGAAGAAAAACCTTTTACATCCAGCACAAAGCAAACTATAATCGAAAATGCAGAAAAAAAAAAAAAAAAAAGGAGGAAAAAAAAAATAGTCGAAATTTCTTTTATGTCCAGCAATGGAACCAATAAAGATTGTGTAGAAACAATGCAGTAATCACCACCAGAGAATGGGGATAAACAGAATGGTAATACACACATACCTATCAAGATAGTAAAATGAAAACAACTAAACATTTAAATTCAAAGGTCCCTCGGAACATGCTAAAAGTAAAACTAAATTGCATAGCGATTGGCATCTAGATTTACCTTTAAAATGGCATGTGATATGTCATTAATAAAAGCCCTGAATTCTTGGTTCACTGCTAAATTGGTAGGAGCTTTTTCTTTATCCATCAGAACCTTAAAACAAAACCTGTAATAGTATGATAAGCGATCAAGATCTGGTAAGTTTATTAGACATTGTTTCAAATACAAATTGGGACTCGTGGGAAAAAAAAATAGAAACAATCAAATATCATATTATATTCCGACAATACTCTGAGATGGTATGAAGTCACCTCATCTAATTTTATGACAAATGGGTGAGACTCGTTAAAGAAACTCAATAATGGATAGAATGTTTAAATCTATCTGATGAAAGAAGTGATAACGTTGTGGTTATTTTATCAGGAGGCGTTAAAACCATGAATCAAGAGGATTATAGACCAGGGATTTCAAATATTTCAATTATAAGAAAACTTGTTTGCAATACTGAGAAAAAGCTTATTATTGTTGATAAAAAATGCACACGACACCAATGGATTATGCCATAAAAATAACACCATGAAAAATCCAGAGACCAAAATCTTGGGCGGCAGAATTTATCCACATCAAAGGACGCACAATCTTGGTTTAAAAAACCAATCAAATTTAAATTCTAACACCATACGATCAAATGTTAATCAAACACACAATCTCAGAAAGCTGAAACCATGTTAAGCAAACGAAACAGAAGGAAAAGAGTGAAGATGTAAGCATTGATAAGAATATGAAAAGTGGCAGCACTGATATCATGCACAGATAGGACAACGAAATATCGGAACCAGCAGCTACAAATAGAACCAAGAAGGAAAAGGATTGATAAAATAAATAAATAAGAAATAGGACAGAGGCACAAACCAACGACATGAGCTCAGTTTTTTCACCATGAATTTTGCATGGCCTAAAATCAAGAAAATGACGTGTTTACCAGGATTTTGAAGTGGACGACCGCAGTCCGAATGACAGCGATCATCCCTCTTTTGATCGTCTTGAACCGACGCAGGACACTCATACGAAATCCAAAAAGGCAGCATTATCTGGAAAGAACATGCGAAGCCGTCAACAACAACAAAGTAAATATATAGTTCCATAGATGCAAACCAAATAACACTACGGCATGGTATTTGATTAAGATCCGTCTCTACCAGTTTGATGGCAAAAACACACACCTCTCCCATGTGGGAATGAACCTAACGATTTAACGAAAAGAAGACGAAAACCCATGCGGGAATGAACCTAACCACACTGCATGCATTCACATACACTGCCCCAATTTAAGATTCGGTTTTTGTCCAATCTATGTATATGCTTAGATACATCTGAGAATTTGCTTTGCAACAGTTGCTACTCTCATCGTCTTTTGAGAGAGACAGATACAAAGGTAAAGATTACAATGGGGAATAGTTAAGAATCCTTCTAAAATACTAAAGAAAAACATACCTAGAATGGAGTAAACAACTGTTTGTCTCCATAGCAGTTTCTCAGAGCATTTATGCTGTCAGAAAGATAGTGCTCCACTCCAGAAGGATGGACAAATGTACCAGATGGAGACTGACCCAAAGAAGACATAATTAAAAGTTAGCATCTGATGAACAATTAAGGTGATGCAAAAGGGTAACACGCGATGTGAAATTATTATACCAAAATAGCCAAGGTCTGTTAATCTAATCACCAAATAATAAAACAGAAATTAAGCACAAAAGTATCAAAATTAAAAGGAAGGAAGAATACGAAACCTTGTGCATAGAACGTTTGTGAGAATGAATCACACAACAATCAAGGGTGGACAAATCACAAAAGTGACAATTAAAGGGGACCTAACGGACACCCCCATTTCTCTCTCTTTGCAATCGCAGAAATCCCAAGGGTTTGAGGAAACAAATGGAAAATGAAATGCTTTTTCTGTTCCCTTTACCCTCGCAGAAAATCCTCCCATCTCTCTCTCTTACCCTTGTCCCATCTCTCTGTCTGCAAATCGCAGAAAAGAAACCCTAAACAAATCCCTGAAATCCCTCGCCTAAATCCTCCCACATTTCTCTCGAACACTCCCTATCTCTCACTCTCTCTCTCTCTCTCTCTCTGCAAAACCTAAACCAGATCTCCTAAACCGTTGGTGCCACTGCACATTGTTATCAATTGTGGGTTTATCAAATCCTTCATGGCTTAGACTGCATGAAGAATTAGAAACTAAAAGATGAATATACGCTGTAAATCATCATATAAATGTAATTGCATTTAAAAAAAAAGAAGGGAATAAAAAAATTGAATTCTATTTCATCAGCATGTAACTGCATGAAAAGTTACAATTGAATGCAGACTCAATCAGTAGTTCACACAAATCTTGCCCCTGTCTACATGTTTTTGGCTTTCAACATTTTAGCTTCAAGACTTAGCTACTTCAACAACAACGAATAGAGAAAATCAAGTTCCACAACTTACGAAAACAAAGTGGCAACTGAGAGATCGTTTGAGGGATTTGAGATTGAGCTTCTTCCATAAACAACATACCTAGAACTTCCCAAATTTTCAAATGGAAATAAAACATTTAAAATTTAAATAGCTTATAGTAATTTAACAAATTCTTTATTAGTGGAGTAAATAAACTGCAACTAAACAACTTATAGTAATTTAATCTGTGTTTGTGGATATGAGAGAGAGAGAGAGAGAGAGAGAGAGAGAGAGAGAGTTATCTATTATAAAGCCAACCTTTGAATTCACTTCTTGGTCCTCTTGTGGCTTATTACCAAAACTCTCCACTGCATTTGCAGTAATGCCCTCTTCCGTAAGTAAAAGGTACAAAAATATCAATTATTTAATGGTAGATATGTACTTTAGACTTTTGAAGATCTAATTCATCCTGCATCTTCTCACACTCATCTTCATGCTGAAGCCGTAAACCTGTCAGCTCAGCCTCATGTTCGCTCCTCATTGAAGTTGTTTTCTATGAAAATGATAAACTGGTTTGTAACGTAAGCATATAACACTCTAGTTAAATAAGCAGTTCCAACTTAATTCAAAGATATTTATTTGAACCTCTCTCAATTCGTTTTCAGCTTGCAGTTAGATATGCTTTAGTTCTTCACTGTGTTCAGATTTTAGACTGAGTATCACGTTCCTGGTGCTCCAACCTATAAAAATTCAAAAAATCTTTTATGAAATTCCAAAACAACCAATATGATTAAAAGCCTACATACAGTTTGCTTAATTAGCAACTAATGCAGGGCAATTTTCATTTCCAACCAACTGTACGGACACAAAGATGTCTTCTTTAACTACCGCTCTATTGAACAGTAAAAAACTCAAAAACTCTGAACTAATTCAAAATAAAAAAATTGCGTAAATTTAACATCATGCTATATGTACCTTCACAGATTTTCGAACTCGTAGAGTCATTGGTGAGTCGACTCGGCCTTCGTGCCTGTGTGTAGACTCGTCATCCCTGCAAATTGCAAAGCTAGAGTCACCAAATCAATAGGCACAAATATATATAGGAAGAGGCATAAGCTGAAACATGTGCAACATAGATATATTAAATAAACACGAAAACAACCATTAATACACCTGCAAGCAAGAAACTACTCACGGTTTCCTAGATGGACCAACAACCAAAGCGTTCTCCACCCATCTACATTTCGTTAGAATCTTCATGACACACATGATATTACAACTAACAAAATAGCTTAAGCATGTTACAGTGGCAATATAGAATACCCAGATAGACTTAACTTCCACAAAACAATAAGGTATAACTTCCCTACTTCTAACTGCTTATTAGAAATTTCAATTAGAACAAATAATACCTGTAAAGGCAAGGGCATCAGAAAGTCATTCAGAACCACTTCCCGGTGCACCAGACTCAGCCCGGCGAGGCAGTTTTTGGCTAGCTTTGGGTTGAATTCCTACATACTCCATGCTTATCTAATAATTCAAATCAAAATTTTCATTCGAACACAACATTCTTCAAATCAATAACTTCACAAAGGTTATAATTAAAAAAACAAAAAACAAAAAAAAAAAAAAAAAAAAGAAAAGAAAAGAAAAACACTAACAATTTCAAATCTATAATTTCAGTAACCTTGTGGCTCATGCGAAGTGTTTTACTGCAAAGAAAAAACAAAGAGTGAGCACAATTAACGCACAAATTTTCAAACAAAAAAAACGACATTCAACTCAATAATTTTCAAAGCTTATAGTTCACAAAAAACAAAAGAAAAACACTAACAATTTCAACTTTATAATTTCACTAACCCCAAAAATTACAGAAAGTATAGGCAACGACAGTACCTCTCAGGGTCGGGAGGAGGGAGGAGGAAGTTCGCCATATGCAGGGGAGAAGAGATCGAGGGATCGTTTGAGACTGAGCTTCTTCCATAAACAATATACCTAGAATTCCCCAAGTTTTCAAATGGAAATTAAACATTTACTTAGCTTAATAAAAAGCCAAAATATAAAAAATTAATCAAAAGGTTGAGAGAACTCACATCCCAGTAATGCTCATTGCTGATATTAACACCACTGATTTGTGGAATTCCCACGCCCAACTCCATGACCTCTGTCTCTGCCATCCCTCTCTCCCTCACAACCATGCCCACTTTCGACCCACCCCTCAATCCCGACACCACCCATTGATTTGAGGAGGAAAAATCAATCCAACCCCCTTTTTGCAAGCCTCACTCCTCCCTCTCCCTTCCGCTCCTTGCCAATCCACGCCCATCTCCCTTGTTGTAGCTCTGCAACCCACGTTTTTTGGCAGAACTCCCTCTCCCTTCCTCTCCCTGACATTCCACACCCTCCACCGCTTCTCTGTCTGTAACTAATCCAGCCCCATTCCACAAACCCAGCCCGAGCCTTACCCCCACTTAGGCCCCCTCACTTTCTCGAAACCAACTCTCAAACCCTAGAAGGCAGAACTCTCACTCTCTCGCAACCCACTTTGAGTGACACGGATGCAACAACCCTCGCCCTCTCTCCCGCCGTCGCATAACCCCAAAATCGCGCTCTCCTTGTCTCTCTCTTTCTCTTCCCAAATCGAGCATCACCACTCAATCCCCTCTCTTTCTCTCCCTCGAATTGTACACCCCCCGTGACTCTGTCTGCCTGTAAGCCGCATGCCTTCCTCTCACCAATCCCTATCTCTCTCCCCCTCCCTCCCTTTCTCTCTTCTCCCTCTGCTCGCTCGCTCTCTCTCTCTCTCTCTCAGCTCAGAAAGAAAGGAAATGAAAGTCTCTCACCCACCCAATCTGTTCGAAACCCTACAGACTAAAACGACCATCGCACCCCTGCCTTTCCACGATTATCAACACGCGGCATGAAGATCAGCGGCAGAGAGAGTCAGTGGCAGCCTCGTAAATAAACTGAAATGTGGTCCAAAACACTGTTCATATGAATAGTGCGATTTCCCCTCCTACTTTAGACTAAAGTAATTTGCATCCCCTCTTTGTCGTTGTTCATATTCTTCTTTGTGAGTCGATGTAAATATTTAATTTTCATGAGTGGTTCAAAAAAAGTTTATTATATCTTTGATAGATGAACTCGATGTACGTAAAAGGGAGCTTTTTGGGTCTGATTTGTTGCGACTTGTATTAAAACGAATTTGATTTGAGACAGAGGAGAAGATGGAGTGTATTAAAATGTGCTCGTGTTTATATGGAGGTTGTTTAGAATATATTCAAAGATGATTATATTTCGTTGATTTTTCTCTGTTTAAGTATTAGGGAGTTTTAACGAAAAGCTCATGATACTGTTCACTTTAACGAAAAACCATATTTTTACACTAAAAAGTCAAACCTGGTACTATTTACTTTACCCTTTATTTTGTACTTATCGTTAAAACTCAAAGTTTTAAAGCCTTTTTCATTAGTTTTCCTTAAGTATTATCTGTTTTCTTTATAATATCTCAATTTTTAGTTTACCACGAAAGCTTAACCAATGGTTACTATCGGAGTTTCTAGCAAGGTGGAAGTGGGTGCTTCAGACAGTTTTTAGTATTGAGCGGAGCCTGTTGACTTGAATACCTCTTTTGGTGATAATGGGAAGATATATGGTTACAAATTATTTAAGGTAATATTTATTCTTTATACATTTCAATTGAAGTTTACTTTCATAGAATTTGCTTAACCCATGCAGATAATTTTAAAACTATTTTGATGGTTTGAATGAAATGATTTTGGAACAGTTTCAGTGTTATGTTTCTTTGTATGCAGATAACCATATATATTTGCGAGCGCTGTATCTCTCTCTATGTACTCTCTATCTGTATCTCCCTCTATGATTTAAAACTTTATCTTTCAATACCAAACTCCTTATTTCCAACGCAAATTTGGGATGTTAACTAAGTAGACGCTTAAGCAAGGTGCGAAAGCAGGCCAACAAGTGGATCAGGCACCGGTTTCTCATGACTGAATTATTAAAGTTCTGTAAGATTTATTGAATACTTTTTTCGAACTGTCTCTCGCAGTGGAATCACCGCCACCAACAGCTCTGGCCGCGCAGTTCGTCATCGTCCAGTATTCCTCCAAAATTCCATTATCTCTCCTTGATTTATCTGACTCAGTGCGTCTCTATTCTTCCATTTACACCCATATCTATCCAAATGACTGTTTATATGCATCTATTTGTTAGAGAAGGCTTTTGCCTTTTGGATTCAATTTTATCTGCTCTCTGCGTTGGATTTGATGTCTTCTCGGTACTAATTTTTTTATTCAGCAATGGAGCTTGCATTGTCGATTGAGAAATTGGCAAATGAAAGCTGCTTCACTTGCACAGTGTAAGGCATACATTGTTATTGTATGATGTCTTCTTAATATAAGATTATTAGGTTTAGGTGATTATATTTTGTACCAGTAACATCGATTGGTTTGTGTTTTGAATTAACAATCTTACTATACTATGTTCACTCTCGAATTTACGATTAACAGGTTGCTGAGAAGAACAAAGATGTGCAGTTAACAGATTTTGTTGAAACCGAGTTTTTTTGTTGAGCAGGTCAGTCTTGATATCTTCCTTTATTTTTCCTCAGTTGGAAAGGTTCTACAGGGACACTTGCGGCATGCTTTTTGATGTTCTGCTTTTACCTTTGTAGGTGGAAGCCATCAAGAAAATATCTGAATATGTTGCTCAACTAAGGACAGTTTTCAAAGGGCACGGTAGGAACCCATAATCTGATTTCGTTGTCATCTTTATCCTACGTTTAGTGTTCATCTTTTGAAAACAACATTACGTTATCAGATTTCATTTTCCGTTTTTTAAAACCCAAGCGCTACTTAACAGGGATGTTGTGGCTACGTGATGATGAGTTGGTCGCTGTTGAAAGTGGTGTTATGCTCTCCGGTGCGCTGATTGTAGCTGTTTAGAGATTTTGGTTGTATGGTTAGAACCTTGTATTCGTTTTTCAGATGAGGAAAATACATGAAGGACAAATTTTAGCCAAATTAGTTGTTTGCATTAGGTTTTGAGAAACTCAAGTAAATTGTATATAGTTGGGACTTAGAAATCCGCACTTTTGGTTGTACATAGGCTCCCAATTTTTGGGCAAAGGAAAGCAGGAAGAGAACACCAATGGTGGTGATGATGGAGAATCCCTTCTTTGCGGTGGAAATCGACGGTCCATGTGCAGCATTCAACCCAGTTTATAAGATGAGGGGTCAAAATGTAGACCGAATGACATGGGGATTTGTTTCATTTTAATCATGTTTTGTACTGAGGTAAATCTCCCTCCCCATTTCACATAATTCTAAATGCTGATTAGCATATATGTGTAAATAGGATTGTATATGGTTGTCTATATGTAGTAACAGAATTGTAAACATTGTTGTAATTATGTGGAGCTAGAGTTGTAAACCAGTGACATTGCGCGGACTTTTATTGCTCGTGATGTCTAAGATTGGATTTCAAAACCCCTCTTATTGTGGATATAGATCCGAATCCATATCCGATCCATGATACCCTTAACGCCATCAAACATTGAATATGATTCATATCCAATTTAATTGGACTAATCCTACCTAATCCGGTCTACCAGACGAGAGACCATTAGGATTGTGGCCTGATGTTAAATTAGATTCCGAATTCACCGGACTAATTGTCCCAGCAGATGAATGGGAATCAATAGAACATGATTCAAAGCCCAGTCCAGTCCCATCCTAGCATTTCCAACACTCGAACCTTGTTTGATGTTGTCCAAGGCTGACCCAATGGTCCTGGCCGTTGTATATATAACGCCACCAATCATCTCTGGCACAATAAACATGTTGCGGATGTTAGTCCTAACTCGCTCCGGCTTCTCATCCGAAGATGCCTCTCGCTTCTGTTTCAAGCGTAGAAATTAACAGATAAACGTAACCACAAGTTTTGACAATAATTCCGTAGACTGATACTTGACAGAACATCATATTTGGACGACAATATTTCCCCCTGCAGTACTATCTTAGCTCACAAGAAAACTTTCTATCGTGTTGGTAGCCATACAAACGGCATGAAGTTAAACTTACAAGACAGATTAACGGTGGCAGTGCAAACTAAACGGAGTTCATGCAACCCAAGACGATGTTTCCAGCATCCACATGCCACATTTTATTAATCGAGAACGTGCAGATCATGCCATGTCGTATTTTTAAAACAAGTAGCATCGACACAAAACAATGTCAATGCAAATAAAGAAGATACATGCTAACCAGATTAAACTCGAACAATGCAAAAAAATAACACACTTCTTATAATTATGATAAACAAACACACAGAATTATCTTGACACTAGTGTTAGACTTGAATTCAACGAAAACATCATGCGTTGTCTGTGCCTATAGTGAATACCTTTGGAAATACAAACCAATACAGGGCTAAACCAAATCAAACCAAACCAAAGTATCTCCCATTTCCAAAAATCCATTACCCAACATGAAATCAAGGGCTAATGTAGATGAACAGTCACTTTGAAATGGCATTGTCAAATTACATCACTTACCGCTGTGCGCAATTTATCGATCAATGCCATTGCCTTCTGCTTCAAACCATGTTGAAATCGGACACAAAATGCACACGATAAATTTAGGACTCGTTTAGAATTGCTTATGTAGAGAATGCTTTTGCTCATAAGCGCTTCTAGTAAAAGTGTTTTCATTGTAAACAAGCTCGCATTTTCATTAAATTCAAGTGCTTCTTAAAGAAGCATCTAATATTATCTCACAAGTGCTTCTTGAAGAAGCATCTATTATCATCTCACAAATGCTTTTCTAGGAAGCGCATCTACGATGAGGAAGCTCGTTTTGACATTTTCTACCATACAGAGGTGGCCAACGTCACAATACGGTTTAGTCCTTGCAAAAGCAATCTCAAACAAACAGGCCCCTAAAATTATAAATGGGCTTTTGCCAATTTGAATAAAGATTTTGAGAAAATTTGACAATCAGACGGGCCGATGGCATTCTCAACGTTATCTGCGCTGGGAACTTAGGAAGGGTATATGGGATCGTAATTTCTGGATTGCTCGTACGGCCAAAGTTCGACCGTTACTTACGTTACCGTCCTCAAAGAGTTAAAAATTAAAAGAAGCAAGTTACACTTTGAAGCAAAAAGTTTAGTGCATTTAGCAGTTTGGTGCTTGTACTTTAGAAATTTGACCAAAACAACTTTTAATGCTACAAATTGTCCCACGTTGCCTCATTTTAAACTTTTACTTAATAGCTATTTTCAGAGCTAGGCCTCATTTGGCAGCTTTGACTGTAATGACTATTTCAATCGGATATGATAAATAGTCATTGGATAGTACTAACTAAATTAATTAGGAGTTTTGTGTAATATCAGACTAATGACAATATTATTTATACTGTAGTAAACATGAATTCAACGTAATTATCTAAAAACCCAAATACTTTTCAAATCCTAATCTTCAAAATAAAAAGCAAATTAAAAAGGCCCAATTGAAGCAAAATCTAATTAAAAATAATAATAAAATGGCCTAGATGAAAAATTTTCTAATTTCCAAGTTCTATCATCCTTCTCAGCCAATATTCTAAAATAAACCCAGGTCAGATCAGCAAAAAATACCAATTCTAATTCGACGAGGAGAGCCCAATTCGAATTCTCCAACCAAGATTCCAAAATAAACCCATACTAGATTAGAAAACCCAATTCGAATTCGACTGTTGTGAATGAGAATGAAACTCTCTTTGTACGGTGCTTGGCGCAACGAGGAGAGAGCAATGAGGATAGTAGTGATGACGAGATAAGGCGATGAGGAGAATGGTGGCGGCGAGAGAAGGTGACGGGAAGATCGATGTTGGTGAGAGAAGGCGACGGAGAGATCGATGTTGGCGAGAGGAGGCGATGGGGAGAACGAAGACGGCGAGAGGAGGTGTCGTGGAGAATGAAGTGTGAGAGAAAGGAAAGGGATCCACTCCTTTTGGAAAGGTCTATTAAGCAGGTGTATACCCTACTAAATAAGCAGATTGATTAAACTAATCCAGCGACTATTTAATACGAGAGGACTCCATATTATTAGTCTTATCCAGTCCCTTATACGACCTGCCAAACGAGACCTAATAATGGTTGGGTATCCATAAGTAGGAGAGATTTTTTAATGAACCACGAATATAAGACTGTACGTCATATGTTATTACACAAGTGGAAAGAAGTTTTCTTTTTCAAGTGTTTCTTCACTTGTATAATGACATATAGCTATGTGCTCATATTGCGGGCACACTGAAAAATCTCTTATAAGAAAGATGGAATAAGTAATTGAGACTAAGTAATTTTTTTTAGAACAAACGATATTATTTACACTAAGGGGAAAGGGAGTGGGCTTAGCCTCACAGTGAGCTAGTAGTGTTGTTCAAATTTGTTTTTGTCGAGAATTGAACATAAAATCTCTCACTTACAAGTAAAGAGAAATACAACTATACTGTAATACTAAGTGGCAACTGAGACTAGATAATTGTAGCGGGGAAATCAATGTAAATTGGTTTAAGAACATAATGATGATTTTACTGTAAGCCAACGTTATTATCCATTTTAACAATTGACGGTCATCTTAACAAACAATAATAACCATAGTAATGGGAAATTAGTCGAGATGATCATTTTTCAAATTCGAAAATGATTCTCTTTTTAGGCACGTCATCGATATTTAATTGTTTTGTTGTCAATATTTGATTCAATTGTTCATTAATATCCAAACAAGTGCCTTTTGTAAGGAAAAAAAAATAGGTTATATATTTCATTTGCTATGCTCAAGGCAGTAGCAACCAATATAACCAACTAGCAATTGGTATAGTATTCCTTGAACATTTCTTTTTATAGGGTTCTAAGTTCGAATTAAAACCTGACCACAATTAAAATCTTATCTTTAAAATTTGTGAAATTGCATAGACTTTTTTGGAAGGTACTTAAAATCTGAAATTGATGGTTAGTTTATCACGTATTCGTTGTCTCCGGTGGATTTAAATTTCTAAATCATTGTTTACCAACCAACTACATCGATTTGTCACCGTTAACAATTTGGGTTAGTTCATTACATCTTATCCATCGAAATCTGGCGACAACAAAGAGAGATGGTGCCGCTTCAAAGAGATGAGAAAAGTACGTGTTGCGATTGAACTCCATAGATGTGATAATGAAGAACGGGAGACGAGTCTCTATATCTAGAAGGTTAAAGTTTCTTTAAAAATGTTATTATCTAGTGTCTATATATGACATCTATTAATTCATGTGTTATGAGTCTAGTATTCATTTAAGAGAAAAAAAAAATGGATCCACTAAGTGCTATGTCAAAAATAAAAGAGTTGACTTGACAATCGGATGTTAACAAAAAAACTTCACAATTAGATAATATGATCCATAAAAAAAGATAGATATATGGGGAAATTGTGTAATATTATGTTATGAATAATTTAAAAATATAAGGGCTTGTTTGGTCCGCAGAATGAACTTCTAAATATCTCATATTCATTAATTTGGTGGGAGTGAAGGATCCTTAGTCTAGTACCCAGCAACGTGAAACAGAACAATTCAAGGTATGTGGGAACAAACTACTAGACCAAACTAATGAATGATACGATAGTGTTTCGTGTATGCATTCTTATATAGATTCATCACGAGTCTTAATAAATTTCAACATGTACAATATTTCAATGTCACATCTCGCATCACTTTCATGGAACGTTGAAAAATATCATCTCTGCTCATAATCGCTTTTGGTAAAAGCTCTATATGTTGTCACACTAGAAGTGCTTTTAGCCTTTTACCCAATCTAAAAGCAGTCCCAAGCCAAGCATCATTCAACAACCAAAACCTGAGATACTATTTTGGTGTCTCTAGTACTTATGTTGATGGTTTATCACCTTGAAAATTGGTAAACTCCCAGTTGATGTTTTATCACGTTGGTTTCGTCCGCTGCACGAATCAAGGGAAGAACCAGCTAGTAACTTTCACAAGTTAAAGTTGAAACTTGGTGTTTGTACATTTTTTTACCATGCTTGGCTGAAGCAGATGCGGGAACACAAGTATGTATACGAAAGAGCTAAGGTTCCTTTGATGCGAGAAAACTGAGGGCCCGTTCGGTAGCGGAATGCATTGGATTGTTTCGAGTTACCAATATGACAGATTATAACAAAATGAAGACGTTCATGTGAGAAGTCCGAGTCACTTGGCTGCAAGGACATGATGCAAATTTCCAGTATTTGTTAGCTAATTCATGTATGAGTCCAACTGAATGTCATAATATAGGCAACATAATAGTCTATATGTGTATGGTCAGCAAAGGAAACACGAAAATTCAATCAATCAAAGCCACCCGTTAATTCAACGCTGCAAAAAAATCTGGGAAGAACAAGCTAGTAACTTTCACAAGTTTTAAGTTGAAAGCAGGTGCATTATCTGCATTTGTACCACGGTTGGTTAAAGCAGATGCAGGAAACAATTATGTATATGAAAGAGCTAACATCCATCCGGTGCGAGGAATTTGAGGTCTTGTTTCGTTAGCGGAATGTAATGGATAGTTTCGTGGTACCAAAACGACATACCTATAACAACCGAAGACTATGTTGTTCTTGTGTATAGTCCAAGTCACTTCGCTGCACCGAAATTTCCAATATGAGTTTCTTAATTTACATATGAATTTAATTGTATTACGAGTTTTGATGCAGCGTATGTAAGAGGTTCTGGAAAATATATAAGGTGCAGCAAAAGCTGGGAGCAACTTCTGGGTATGTAAACCCTTTTGATAGGTGCAATTAGCAAGCCAGTGAGTGAGATAAGCCAAAAAAACTAAGAACTATTGTTCACCTACTGCATATTTTACATCAAATTTTGCTTTAATCTGGGGTAAAAATACAGTATTGTCCTCAGTTTTTGAAGGTGTAAAAGGATAAGCAAGAAGTCGACCATGTCAAGTTACATAAGTTGTAAGTGGCATATGTGTCAATGTCCTACATGCTAGAGGAACATATGTACCTAATTCTAAATCAACCCAATGACCATTTGATTTGGATTTCACTTGGATTTATGTTCCAAGATCACTTTTGATGTCACAGATTGTATAGATTTAGTGCTAATTTGTTAGGTCATTTGATTTTTTACAAATAGGATACTTACCACATGTAATATGTCACACCTTTGCACAAAGAGTAAAAATTTTGTGCAACTTCATCCATGTTCCGATCCACTTTTCTACACCCGAATCCGGTCAGATTTTTGTAATTCTTGAACCGGCGCGTTCCTTAACTACGTTTGTATCGGGTGAGGTGAAAAAATCCGGGTTAGGTTCCGAGCATTCTTCGAAAATCGCTTGAGACGACAATAACATCATTATAAACCCTAATCCTGACCATTGGGGCTTCAAATCCGAATAAATCCCAAACCCGTAATCGGAAAAACACGAAAAAACACTCGTCGGAAAGCTAAGATAGTTTCCTACAAGGTGAAAAAAATTTCACTCAAATCCATCAAGTGAATCTCAACTTGTGATCAAATCAGTTGAGCACAAAAGCACACCCAAAGCAAGAATTAACACCTAATTTTCCAAACCCAGCCATTTACACCTCTCCACCCAGAGCATCCACAACCGTCCACCACGGTTCATCCAAAGGCCCACATTCAAACTTCCTCAAAGGCAGCGATCCGCGTGCTGGGGCACTCGACCAATCAGCGTTGAGCCTTCGGATATCGTCCCTCACGCACTTGACTATTTAAACCGTCCAATTTCCGTCATCTTCTCACACAACGAAACTACCGGTGAATCAACACACGCACATTGCTGGTCGATTCAGATCTCTCTCTCTTCCCTCTTTCAAATCTGAGTCCTCCCCCTTCCCCTTCATTTCCAAACCCTAACCCTAGCTTTTGAATTCGATACCATGGCGTCCGAAGAAGCAACCGTGGCCGTTGCGATCGAGACGGTCGAGAATCCTCCTCCCGAGCCGGTCACCGCCGAGACGGCGGACGACAAACCGGCAGACAATCCCGGTAAGGCCAGCAAGGCCAAGGAGCCCAAAGCGAAGAAGGCACCTGCTCCAAGGAAGCCGAGAGCCGCCCCCGCTCACCCTCCGTACGAAGAGGTAATGCATTTTCTGGAATTTTCTAGAATTCGAATCCTCAATTTCACAATTCGTGTGCTGCAAGTTTTGGGAATTTAGGGTTTACGATCTGATTTTTCCGGTTCGATTTTGTCTCTCCAGATGGTTAAGGACGCAATTGTGGCTTTGAAAGAGAGGACTGGTTCGAGCCAGTACGCGATCACTAAGTTCATCGAGGAGAAGCACAAGCAGCTGCCGCCCAACTTCAAGAAGCTTCTGCTCTTCCATTTGAAGAAGCTTGTGAGTTCCGATAAGATCGTCAAGGTCAAAAACTCCTACAAGCTCCCGCCTGTGAGGTCCTCGGCGCCGAAGCCTTCTTCTCCGGTGAAGAAGAAGCCGGCCGCTAAGCCGAAGGCAAAAGCTCCTGCTGCGAAGCCTAAGGGAGGGAAAAAGCCAGCTGCCAAAGCTCCGGCCAAACCAAAGGCCGCTGCCGCTGCCAAGCCTAAGGCGAAACCGAAGGCCAAGCCCGCAGCTAAGCCAAAAGCTGCTGCTACGAAGCCCAAAGCGGCTGCTCCGGTTAAGTCTAAGCCTGCTGCCAAACCAAAACCCGCCGCCAAGCCTAAACCCGCGGCCGCCAAGCCAAAAGCTGCTGCTACCAAGCCCAAGGCGGCTGCTCCGAAGCCGAAGCCAAAGGAGAAGCCAGCCAAGGTGTCGAGGACGCTGACGAGGTCGTCTCCCGGAAGGAAAGCTCCGACCCCCCGGCCTGCCCCTAAGAAAGCGTCGACTCCGAAGAAGGCTCCGGCGCGGAGCGTGAAGTCGCCGGCGAGGAAAGCTCCAGCTCGCAGAGGAAAGAAGTGAGAGCGTTTAGAGAGGAAGAGAGTCTAGTTGGTCTGTAGGGGTAGTCTTGTAAATCTCTCCGTCTCTGCAGTTACAAAAAAGGAATATAAAATCCGGAATTTATTTTATATTTTCCATTTTGGAGTAATTTTCTGCCTGAAAATCGGTCTGTTTATTTTTGTCTAGGGTTTTGTGGGGGAGAGTTTGGGAATGGATTGTAACGAAGTACAGTACATTTGAGTTGATGAATTAGAGAAGATGAAGAGTTATTGTGTTCCCCCCCGCGCATTTTAGCATTATTCTGCATGTTCCAATTGCGTGAACGATCCAAAAAGGAAGCGACGGCGTTTCGTAGACGCTAGCCTGCTTCTCGTCCAAGCTTGGTAAACTCCCAAACCATCTGTGTCCGTAGATTTCAATTCATACTTATGGAAATTTAGAAAAACCCCCAATGCTCATAACAATATTAGGTTAAAGTAATTTGGTTTTCATTACTTGTTTGGTTCTCCTCTTCCCAATTTCGATTGTTCGTTAACTGTTTTTTGGGTCTTGGCTCCTCTAATATCGCTTGTATATAGAAAAAATTGTGATATTTAATTATGAAATCTTTTTTGGATAGAGGAGGTTTCTTAGGTTTACATGGCAATGTAGTTTACATGGAAACAGATGTCGGCAAAGTAGACTGTGTAAGCCCGTTGATAAGATTGTAGAAACAAATCAGGCAAGAGAAATCTTTTGATATGTGGCCGAGATTCGGAGATAAATGATGTGAATAAGTAGGGTTCGGGAGTCAGTGCTACATTGTAGACATGTAACAAGTTCATTGCACGAGAGGATTGTTTGATCTTACTGGAAATACAACAACTGAATCAAACCATACCCGATTTGTTGAGGCTAAACACGTGATTTGGTCGGTTGGGGGTAGAAGAACCCAGGTGATTGAGTTACAAGTTATAACTCTTAAAAGGTTGTAAATCAGAGGTATTTTAGGATACCTCATTTGCTTTTAAGGCCTCTACAAAGGTGTCGAGGATTGGGAGGAGTTGAATTGGATTGCTGCCAGTCTCGAACCCAGAATTACCCGGCTTGTGAACGTAGCACAAAACCATGCTAAGAAGCCATGTAAAAAACACAGCTCAGGTGGCTCTGCCAAGTAGGATTTCCACAATGTAACCGGTGTAGTTGCAGTACAAGTCTTTCCTTTAGTCACCGCGTTACTGAGGAATGCGTCTAGTTTAGCTGAAACAAGGAGGCTACTGGGTTTCAAATTGATTCAGATGTGCATGCTGATACTTCCCATCTACTTCGGAGTATATTGCGTTATCTTGGTACACTGGTGTTTTTGGGCACCTTTCTCTTGAAAACACTCTGTAAGTTGATGCTCAATCTTGTTTTCTTGCATATAGGAAGAATGTAGGGATGCGAGATCAGAAAAGAAACTACTGAGAGCTGGTGCTCATTTTACTATCACCCATTTGCTCTGATTTTGGGAACTCTTGGAAGTGATACATTTATTTTCGATCATGGTAGCGACTTGAAATGAACAGAATACATAGCTTCCTTACTGATTATGATACTATAACCCCAAGAAGTTGAGATGCGCAAAACTTGAAACGTGTTCAGTGTGAGCTGAGCATTACCTTGCCTGCCTGCTACACCAGGTGATAAATTACAAAGATTTAGCCAGAGGAGGGATTAAAACCTAGATGTGAATCTCCTAGGCGGTTTCCATTTCTCATATGCTGTTTCTGGTAATTTATTTCTCAAAACTCTGTTCCAGTCTCCATGTTGTTTTCAGTTGCCTTTTCTGGTCCGTGTTTCCCTTTTCTGCTTATCGTTCCATTTTCAGCATCGTGATTACATTTATATGCTTGTGAATGTAATGCCATGCAAAAATTACATTCTTTCGTTATTCTGTTTGCTCACCTTACACAACTGAGACACTGGTTAAAGAAATCATTCTATCTAGGAACCAGGAGTTTCTACCCGAACTTAGGCTATTCGTATATCTATGCTAGTTTTCAACTACAACAAACGCTTGATGGTTACATCCCAGGTTTGTAAATTACACAAAACCTAGAGCAACTGGAGAACTTGGTTGGTGGAAATAAGATTTAGAGCAACTTGAGAAGAGAAACACTGAGAATCGTCTAAAGGATTGCATCAACGTTTGGCATTAAGTTGTTGGATGCACTTCATGCGCATATGTGGATATGTTCTTATGCTGCCGGATTCACAAGCTACTCAAGAGATGTGAAAGGAACCATTGGACTTACGAAACAACAATGCCAAAGGAAAGGAGTTATTGCTGATGAGTCGACGACCAAGGAGTAGAGAAACACAGGCAGGCATGTCTTTTACCATTTTTTTTTCTTTAAAGGTTAACCATGTTTACTACTGATCTTGTCTTGAGAGATCTCTGTCTTCCCCTCTCATTTATGTATCATTTTCTCCCCTTTTTATTTCTGAACTTTTATTTACCTGACGGAGTGCAGGTTTTGAACCTCAATTCCAGGCTAAGCATCGCATGTAGCTGACTGATATCAGGCAGGCAGGTATTCATTCTTTGTCATCTACACGTTGATTTTTTGGGTTGACGCTTTAGATGCATGGTCCTAGCTTAGAAAATCCCTTTTATTCCTATGACTTGTGATAGAGTGGAGGAAGAATCAGCGCAACAAAAAGTAATGAACAATGGCTCAGAAGATATGAATGTTTTTGTTCAGATTGTTTCTTTCTCCTCAGGTGTTCGTTGTGTAATGTTTAAGTCAAGTTGGCTCCCCAGTGTCAACTCCATAATACCGTCTGGAGTGGAATTTATTTGGCGGTGAGCTGGGGATCTGTGGATATAACCAAGACAGGTAATATTTGGCAGTTACAAAGTTATAGATTATACAGGATTTATATTACTGTCTGAATGCTGAACTCTTAACTGGTATTCTGGGACCTGCCATTCTGTATTGTTCGTTTCACATTTAAAGAACTCATTTGTTCTTACCGTAAAATACATAACTCATCTAGCACTTAAAATTCATCATTACCAGATTCCATTCTTTCATTTTTTTCCTTACGAGGTTTTGCTTTTATGTTTATGTTGTGCGTAAGTTTATGTTTCAAAACAAGAAAATTTACGGAACAAGGAAACATGTTTTCTAAACTGACCTAATGAAGTTCATACAACGAAAATAATTCAGTTATCAATCTCATAACCTTCATATCTTCACTTTCTGTATATCTTAGGAGTAAGCTCCTCACTTTTGGTACAACACAGACAAAAAGCTCCTCATCTTTGGTACAATGCAGACAAAATATTCATTGGTTGCAAATATGGAAAACTTCCGATGCTTTGTCCAGTCTACGTCTTCTGAGCTGTGAAGATAAGAGGTTTAATACGCTACTTGGCTGGTTCGGTTGTTTTATTGTTTCAATCTTTCAACTTTCTGGATGGAGTACTTCAGCTCCTTTTGAATGTTTAACCTTGAAGGCGATAAGACAATGTCCTTCCAGACTGACCCGGTTTTACAAGCTGGGTTAGGGTGCTTGTAAAGTTCGTATATGGAATTTGCCATGTCATTTAACCTGCCCACCCTTTTTAAGCAGTCGATTTCGTCTGGATCCACAAGCAATGTTCTGTCTTTGTCTTTCCATCCTATCAACTTCACAAAAATTACTATCTTAGTGTCACGTTTTTGATGTTTAGACTGCTATATAAGCGCACTATCTTTAATATCCATGATTGACTAATTATATCATTCTATACATCTTGAGTTCAGGTGTTGGGCCAGGCTCAGCAGACATGTTTTAAGGTTCAGGGTGCAACGGCTATGATTTCCGAGGCTAGGAGACATAAAAATCTAAGGCATCAAAGGAAATGTAAGTTTGTACTGTTATGTTATCTGAACTTTAACCAAGAAGGTCCGTCCTTATTGAGCTTGGTTATGAGAAGATCTGCAGGTTCATCTTACTGGAAAGGAAGATAAACGAAAAGAAGGGATGGCAGGCGTACCTTAGGCGGGCCTTCCAATGCATTCGTGCAATATAGTCTCGCGTTGTCAACCAGTTGGCAATACGTTAGAAATGAATTTGCAAATCTCTTGTGGGATTTCAATTGTGAGTTTACTCGCACCGCTCTTCTAACCATGATAGCTCTCCTGTTGTCATTCAGAATGCCCACTTTCATGCATCAAGGTTGATTGTTGCTACAAATTTTAGAGCGAAACGAAAAAAATGTAAGAAAAAGGAGATATCTTTGACTAGTAATGTTACCTTATGCCTCTTATAACAGCTAGATAAGCATCACACACGACTCCAACGAGCTCTATCCTGTATGGTTTTCTCTTTCTGCCTCCTACTTTTTCTGGTTCTTCATCATCAAGTCGTTCCCAATAGTTTTCAGTGACAGTTCCATCCTCATTCACCCTGTAACCAGGTCCCATGCGGTAACGGCGGCGATGAACATTTCTGGCCATTGTTATTGTCTGCACAACAAAGGGCACCCAAGAGAGTGTGCCGTCCATGATGACATCCCGCCCTTCATTAAGCGCTGTGACGAGGAGGGATGATGCTGCGTCCGTAGATGATTGGTGTACCTGTTTAGTATAGTTTTATCAGTTTTTGAGTAAATTCTGCTTGTTGAGTGCATCTAAAGTTTCACTGCAGCATTCTAATCGAGACAGGAAAAGGAGACGCAGAAAGTAGAGAATATAATTGGGCAGTGTTCTTAGTTGTGAAGGATCAACTCTTCATCCAGATCAAGGATAGAGATGCACTGTAATCAGCTGCCCCTTCAGGTAATATAACTCACCTATAAAAGGCTATGCAATGAATACTTATATATGTCAGTTTACGGGTTACTCTATGCTATTTGCAGGGAACTTCTGGGAAAAGTGTGGTGCTGCTTGATGAGTCCATATTATACCATATGTTTTACCCTAATCTTAGTATTAATTTAGTGGTTATTTTGTCATATCATTTTCTATGAATTGCAACTTGAAGGTGAAATTTTTGTATCTTAGTTAGTTGTGTCCAAGTCTTTAGTTGTTAGTTTTTATTTTTGTTTTTGAGTTTTGTTTTGCTTGAGGACAAGCAAAAGGTTAAGTTTGGGGGTATTTTCTTAGTATTAATTTATTGATTATTTTGGTAGAATTTTGATACTTTGTTATGTATTTTCAATGTAGGATATTAGATTTCCTCTGGAGCAAAAAGTGATCAAACGGATGAATTTTAGAGTGATTCCAATTGGAGGATGTTCGTGAGTCTTTCAAGATAATTGTTTCAAAATTCCAGATTTTTCTACTAAGCCGTTTGACTGTGGCAATAAAATTAAGACTTAGCGCGTAGCTTTCCCAGATTGATGTTTCTGGACGTTTTAGGCATTTGGAGGTCAAGATAGCATATTTTGAGGAAGATTCCTTCTAAAGATTTGTAGGGGACGTCTCAAGCTTTAAAAAGAGATCTTTTGGGACCAAATTGAAGTTGATTTGGTCGGTCAAAAGTCTGATTTTCTAATAAGTCTGAATTTTAGTTCAAATAGAAAACCTTTTATTTTATGTTTTAATATTTTATTATGTTTCATAGTTTTATTCTAAGATCTGTTAAGGTTTTATTTTGTAGTAGCATAAATAAAGATGTTTAGCCATTAGGGTTAAAAAGAAGAGGGGGTAGCACGCATCAATTGGGAGAATGCACTACTTTTGTATTTTCAAGGTGTTTTCTATCTATGTTTTTAAAAATATTTTATTATATGATTCTTCGTAACTGATTTCCGTTTGCTAGGACGATGCCTTAAGCCTTAGCATGAATATGTAGTTTTTTATTTAATTGCTTATGATATTATGCATGCATACTTTGAATTATTAATCACAATGCTTAAACTGTCTCTATATTTGAATGCTTAGCTACCATTAGGATGTTTAGATAAGTAATCGGATACAATTTGGTCGAAATACCATCGGGAATTGAGTATTGCTTCTTGTGCTTGATAGTTGTAATTTCACCTAGGATGAATACCACGTCTTAGGGGTTGCATGGTTTTTCAAATGGTTTTCACAAAGCGTAATGAGTTATGTATATTTATATTTGATCTGAATATCACAGACAGATTGAATGTTTGATATACGTTATAGCTTGAATACCACGAGTAGAAGATGTATTAGAAAAACCTAACTTTCAAAGTTGCATGGGTAATTTATAAGTAATTGGTAAATTTACATAGAATTGTTAAAGGAATAATAGAACGCTAGGCTTTTACAATTTGATTTTCAAAACGCTTTCCTTTGCTTTCTTTGCTTTGCTAATCTTTTTAACCATTTTAATTAAATTCCTTTTTATTATTTTTAAATTCAAAATCAATCTTTTCCAATCTTTGTTTTCAAATAATTAGCTAAGAATTAGTTTAAATACAAATTATTCATTCAATTCCTGCAGAAACGACGTTTATACTATAATTACCTTGTTATCTTGCAAGTATTTTATGTGTTTTTATCTCTATTTTTGCAGGTGGTAAAAATTCTATTACTGCTGGCGTGCTGCGAAGTTAGAGAGAGAGAGAGAGAGAGAGAGAGAGTTGATATATATACCAGTTCAGCGGTTTGAAGCATGTCATCATGATGGCCTCTGGAGCTGAGAGCTCTGTATATGACATCTGATTCTTTGAAGGCATCTGCCTCAATCACTACTGCATTCCCCGCTGCTCCAGCCCAGAACGGTCTGTAACACATTTCATCCATAAAGATTGCGTTAGCTTCTCACTGCTTTGATTTTCGTTTTCTTTTCAGTCAAACTATGATGGCTGAATTTGGAAATACTACTTCTCAGTAATTCGTTACGCTTCTGATTTCCTTGATAATATGATTAGTAAATCATAAATTTTAGTAATAGTTATGACCCAAATATACAATGAGGCTTCAAAGCTGTTCCAAAAGAAGTTGGTTTTATGTAGAATTTTCCTTACTCTTTGAGAATGTCCTTTAACACAGTGCTCTTCCCTGCTCCCATTCCGCCTCCCATGAGGAGTAGGACCGGACTTCTATCAGCGTGAGCCACCGGAGCCATCACCTCTGTACACGTCGAGTCATCTGGCGCTGCGAGTCCCATTGCCTTCATCTCTTCCACTAAGGTAGTGAAAACTCTAGCCACCTTCAAATTTTTCGTCACTCTCTCGAATCTCTGTTTTCTATATCATAATTGCGGTTAATTAGTATTGCTAGAAACTTCAATTTTAGCATATCAACTGTCATTCATATTAACGCGCGCGCGCACGCACTACGAAAAAAAGTTAATTTCCCACCTGGTTGCTGCCATGACAATGTTCTTGAGCTTCTTTCTAGGCTCATTATCACAGCTCAAGATCTGAAATTTCATAAATTGTTGTTAGTTTCGGTTTCACGGAGAAATAAATCATAGGGATTCTACCTTGTATGGCTAAATTACGAAAAAAATGCATCACGAACACAATCACAGTATCATTCATATATTTTGTTGTTGATCCTAATCACCTGAGTAATCATCAGATCACCTTGGCCCCAGTGAAATGCAAAATAACTAAGAATGCATCTCTCAAACTCCTCGACAAGTTTCACGAAGAGCGAATCTGCATCCGGTTCACTAGCAAAGAAGTTGTAGATGTCCTCCTCAAACCCCTCAAATTTTCTAATGTATTCAGTGGCCAACTTGCAGAGCTGCGGACATTCTCTTCTGTCTTTAAATCCCAGCTGCCTAGCTGCACCCACAACGCCGAAAACATTCAACCACAAAACACACCTTGCAGATCGCAAAGGCCATGAAAAACAAGCGGACGATCACGTAATCATTACCTACGTAGTGGGGGAACCTCTCGAGCTTCTGATGAACGCGGACTGAGTCGGAAACCTTGAGGCGGGGGACGATCTTGTGATCCTTGTGGTTTCGGAGGCGGTAATGAAGGGCGGCGGCGACGATGATGCCGATGGAGGAGGCTACAAGGATGTGAGAGAAGGTGTGATCTGAAGAAAAGGGAGAGGTGACGGGGAATGAAAATTGAGAGAGGTTTTTGCATGAAGGGTGGAAGCAAAGAGCGACGGAAGAGGCCAATATCAAGAGGGTGACTAGTTTTGTTCCATGATATTTCTCACCTTTCTGCATGTCTCTTACAAATTCCAGGAAAACTGCTAAGATTTGAAGAACGAATGTATGAATTTTTTTTTTTTGCTTCCTTTTTTTTTGCTTTTGTTTTTGTTTGATTTGGATCGTGAAAAGATGAGAAGGGGAATTTGGGATATGCATCTGGTTTCTGTGGGTGCAGGTTAATCGTGATAGTTTGTTGTTTGTTATTGAGTGGTGACACGTGTATATTACTAATAAAATCAACTTGTTAGTCAAGCAGTGATAATGTTATAACATCATTGATTATTTTTTAAATTACAAAAATACCCTTTATTAATGTAGATTAATCATTTGCGCTTGATGAGCCAATCTCCATCTCCATCTCCACCATATAAAAATCGCTTTTTATAAAATACACAGAAATATATTGGCTCATCAAAACACCCTTCATTAATATAGATTAAATCATCAATGTAGATTAATGATTTTATATCTTCTCTAACCCTCTTCATCTCCCTTCCAAGTCTTTTTTGCTTTTCATCCTGATGTAACATTAATCATTTGTACCTTGATGAGCCAATCTGGGCAATTTTGGGTACGATAAATAATTAATTTTGTTTAATATTAATCAATGAATTGGCTTAAATTGGGGGTTTTGAGATTTGAGAGTTTTGATTGATTTTTGAATGTCGCCTTGGTGGCCACCTCTGTATTACTCACTTCTCTCTCTTTTCTTGGCCTATGTAGCTAATGTAGCTGATTGGCATGTCGCAACTCTTAATATTGTTAGTTGTTGGTTGTTAATTGTGATTTTTTTTATAAAATCCTTTCACTATTGAAATTTGGCTTCAAAGTTCAGCCCACCTCAATTTTGGATTGTGGGTTCATGCTTGGGCACAATAGACTTGTAGTTAATTCTATTGAAATGATCATGCAACCTCTGGAGCATCCGGCCTACGACTGCACACTTAATTTGTGAGGATAGTTGGAGTTATCGTTGAAGATAGATTGAACTAATTCTGTAAAAATGGTTGAAGACGAGTCGAACTGATTCTGCAAAAATGGTTGAGAACTGGTTGAATCGATTATGCAAAAATGGTTGAAGAAGGGTTAAATTGATTCAGCAAAATGGTCGACGACAGGTTGAATTGATTTTGCAAAAATGGTCGAAGTCAGGTGAATTGATTTTGCGAAAATGGTCAAAGACGGGTGGAACTAATTTTGCAAAAAGGGTCGAAGACGGGTTGAACTGATTCTGCAAAAATTGTTGAAGACGGGTTGAACTGATTCTGCAAAAAAGGTCAAGAACTGATTGAACTGATTATAGTAATAAATGATTCAAACTTATTCTACGTATAGTTTCAAAACCGATTCTGCATAAATAGTCGATGATTGGTTGAACTTATGGCACATATTAATTTTGGTGGAGTTGTGACAGTTAAGTTCTATTAAAAGCCTAAAATCTTAGAGGTATGGTTGATATTTTAAAACATTGTTTTCATGTTTTTAGGCTGGATTTTAATTGTTTTTGTGTTTTTGTCTCTTTGACATGTTTAAAATTAATAGAGTTTTTTAAAATATAGTAAAAGTTTTTGTCTCTGTATATAAAACTTTATCTTTTTTTAGTAATTATACATTCCCCACTTTTAAGAATTTCAAACATTCACTTTTTTTGTTCCAAAAAAAAAAAAAATTCCACTTTTTTGCTTACGTGAATTACATCAATTCAAATTTATTGTATTTAAGTTTAAATTTTTCGTCATAATTTACATTTAAAAAGATTTAGAGTAGTATCTTGTCAAAAATTAAAAAAATCCGTGCACTTAAATTTAATGCATTCATTTTACGTTAAATTTGTCCATACCTTTTACATTAACTGGTAAAGTTTGCAAGTGACAAATTTTCAATGAGACCTTCACATTATTACACCTCATCGGTTCAGCTCTTATCAAGAGCGTGACATTGTAAAAACTTTTAATAAAAGTATCTGATCTATTAAAATAGAATAAAAAAATAATGTAGTCTTCTATATAAAATAAAATCATAAACCATAATATAATTTCACACAATAATCTCTCTTTAACTTTTCAGTTTTTCATATATATATATATATATTTATTTATTTTTACTATTATTATTTAATTTTTTATAAAGAGTTTTAACGAAATAGTACCGGTATTGTTCATTTTTACCGAAATGGTATTTTTACTCTAAAAAGTCACTTTTGATACTATTAACTTACAACACTTTTTTATCATTTTGATTAAAACTCAAAATTTTTAAACTATTTTCATTAGTTTTTTTTTTTAATTTTTAATTTTTAATTTTATTATTATTTATCTTCGTGCAAGCAGCAAGCTTATATAAACCTAAGTTGTTTAGCTGCTAAAACGCACCAACTCCACAAAAACGAAGCAGCATTTGCTGAAGCTCTTCTGCTTTGAACCGCTCCGATGAGCTCCCCGGTGGCTACTTCAAAATCCAAGCTATCATCTTTCTTCACAAACCCACAAAAACCCACATCCCCAAATCCCAAAACTCCAACCAAGCTTTCACCTTTCTTTGTCCCGACGAACCAATCCTCACAACCCACTTCTCCAAATCCAAAATCTCCACCAAAAACCCCAATTCCCAATCTCCCAATCCAAACCCCACTTCAGAAATTCCTCGAATCCAACTGCAAGTCGGGTAATTTCACTCTCTATGAAGCTCTGCAATATTTTAGTCACATGATTCGAATGCAACCCACTCCTCCAATTTCTTCATTCAATCTTTTATTCAGTGGACTTGCAAAAAGTAAGCATTTCTCTCAAGTTTTTCCACTTTACAATGCAATAATATCAGCTGGGTTGGTGCCAAATTTCATTACTCTTAATGTTTTGCTTAATTGCTGCTGTACTGCGAATCGGGTTCGCGATGGTTTTGTGGTCATGGGGAGTCTTTTTAGGAGGGGATTTCTACCAAGCACTGTGAGTTATACTTGTTTGGTTAAAGGGTTGTGTAGGGAGGATAAAATTTTTGAGGCAACAAGGTTGTTTGAGAAAATGGTAAAGTTGGGGTGCCATCCTAATGAGTTTACTTTTAGTACGTTGATTAAAGGGTTGTGTCGAACGGGCAACGTGAACGTTGCGCTTAGGTTGCATGAAGGAATGGCTAATGGAAGTGGTGCTTATAGTGTTGGTTGTAGGCCGAATGTGTTTACTTATGCGACCATCATTGACGGGATGTGTAAAGCCGGGTTGGTAGATAAGGCGAAAGAACTTTTCATAGAAATGAAAGGTAGAGGGATTGTTCCTGATGTGAATGTATATAGTTCTTTGATACACGGTCTGTATTACAATGAGAAATGGGAAGCAGCGAAAGCTATGTTAAGTGAGATGGTGGATCAGGGTGTCCAGCCTAATTTGGTAACATTCAATGTGTTGATAGGAGTAATTTGCAGAAGGGGAAATGTGAAAGAAAGTAGTGACTTGTTAAAATTGATGATTCGTAGAGGCATAGATCCGGATATATTTACCTACAGCATTTTGATTGACGGCTTGTGTTTGGTGGGTAGGCTTAATGAAGCAAGAGAGCTCTTTCATTCTATCCCAAGCAGAGGTTGTGAACCTGGTGCCATTAGCTACAATGTGTTGATCAATGGATACTGCAAACATAAGAAGATACTGGAAGCTACCAATTTTTACAAGGAAATGATTAACAAAGGAGTTCGGCCAACAATAATAACATATAATGCCTTATTAACTGGTCTTTTTCAGATGGGTAAAGTTCAGGATGCACAAGAATTGTTTAGTGAGATACGAACTCAGAATCTGTTACCAAATTCAACTACATATACAATATTCATGGACGGGCTTTGCAAAAACAATTGCCTAACAGAGGCGATGGAAATTTTCCATACTTTAGAAAATAGCAACTTCAAGCTTGGAGTTGAAATGTTTGGCTGCCTTATTGATGGGTTATGTAAAGCAGGAAAGCTTGAAATTGCTTGGGACCTATTCCACAAAATGTCAAATAGAGGCCTGGCGCCGACTGTTGTAACATATTCCATGATGATCCATGGGCTCTGTATAGATGGGCAACTGGAAAAGGCAAATGATTTGTTTTTAGAAATGGAAGGGAAGGGGTGTGCTCCAAACATCATCACTTATAATATCCTCATGCGTGGTTTCTGCCAAAATGATGACTCGGCAAAAGTGGTTGAACTTCTCCACAAGATGGCAGAAAGAAATCTGTCACCAGATGCCAGTACAGTCTCCATTGTCATAGACCTACTGTTGAAGGATGAAAAGTATCGTAAGTGTCTGGACTTGCTTCCAACATTTCCTGCCACTAGCCGGTGCAAGATGACATGGTAAGTTTAAAGTCTCTCGCATGATTTTTCACTCATTACTCCTAATCAGAAAGTCTTGTGATTCTATTCACACATTCAAACAGAAGTTTCAAGATGTGAAGGTGCATTGCTATGGTCTTAAACTCAAAGCAAAAACTTCAGTGGTGGGGTGACTGGGTTTGTATGAGGGCAGATCACATGGATGGTGTAATGATGGATTGAAGATGCATTCAACTGCAGTGCTTGTGCAACTCCTCTGAATCAAGGTTGCAAAGAAAGAAGACCTAGAGCAGCATGCTTGTGCGTGTCAAAGTTGCATTTTTCACCTGGTATTGCAGATTATGACGTGGTGTTACTGTTCTATGAATGTCACTCCAGTGTTAATCTTTTGTAGAGAGAACATGATCCGCAGAGCGTGTAGTAACCAGTCCTGTTCTACTTCACAGTTTTGTAATACAGGTACTAAACTTCTTTGTATTTCATGAAAACCTTAAATTTTGTGAAATATTCATGTTGAGAATTCAATAACATAATTGCAAACTATTATTCACTATAATTTTCTGCTGCAATACATTACGAGGCTTTTGTTCTCCTTCCATTTGATGGTCACAAAATATTTTCCGTTCTTCATAGAACAAAAAAAATAAAAACATCTAACCCCCATGTCAGAAGAGCTGAATTGAAATGGTTTTAGAGTCTGGCCTCACTAGTTGTTCTATGAGGGTCAAATTGTGAAGAGTTTATCTGTGAACGTTTGTCTATATTTTTTACCCCGTAGAATACTTTCCTTTATTTGAGCCATATTCTAATATAATCTAAATTACAGGAAGGGAGATTCGAGCTTGGGTGCAAATCGGAGACTGCTCTAGCCTCTAGCCAACTTGGCTACACCCAGGTCAGCATACTTATACAAGACTTTAGCATTGTACAGTGTAATACTAATAAAACTAAAGAAATTTGTAGAATATGGTTTTGTTATTACTTGTACCATCTGCTGGTAATTCTTGAGGAGAATTGGATATCCTCCATCACGAATGAAAACATCCACATACATACAATTAGTTTCTGTTTCTGAAGGAAACACCATTTCCAACTTAATTTAGATTGATGGATGTCAACTAAAAGAGACCAGACATACTCTCTCTCTGCTTTTTCTTGTCATTCAGCGATAAAAGTGGAGCAAATGATGACTGAAAGAATGGCATGTATCAACAGATGTTACCCTAAAGAGCCCCGTTTGGCTCATCTATAAGGCAGTCCACCAACCCTAAGGCTGCATCTAGTTAGCAGATCAGAGTTTAATATTTTCATTTTTGTTTGGATACAAGTGACAATAAGGGAGCTGGATTCGAACACAAAACTTCGGATACAAAGTGAAATGCTTTCTCCTTAAATTTCAGATTCCGAAACTTTATGGGGGAGAGAAATTCCAAATCCTAAGAAGCTTTGTAGCATGTTGTATGTCTAATGACATGAATTTTCAGTTTTCATCTCCTCCTTTTCCTGTCAGATGGTGAGATCCAAATGATTGGGGTGATTAGTAAAGGTCTTAATTATGAATCTTGTTGATTGGGGTGATTACAGCTTAAAAACATGGTATATTTAGGTCATGCAAGCCAGACTGGCTTTTGCTTGACTTGGCAGGTGATTGTGATGCCCTGCAAAATCTGTCCCTTTGATTGGATTATGTTTGTTGTTGGGTACTTTTCAAGCATAATTAGTGGTGGGTAAGTCAGTAATTTGATACACAGATTCACGAGTCATCTTATATTTTGTAATTGAGAAATGCTCAAAAGTGAGACTCTCTATAGATTCTCTGACACCTCACAGTTTAACGTCAATTTCGTGCCAACATATTAAACATTGTGCAAAAAATATGAGGTGATGGAGACTTCATAAAGAGCTTACTTTTGAGTCCTCTTGACATTTCTCTGTAATTTATTAAGGAAAAAAAAGGTTATTTGTTTTTTAACATTTTATGATTGTTAATCTGCCTAAAAGTCATTATTGACTGCGCAATTTTGATTTTTGAGAAGGGATCAATGGAAAAGTCAACAAATTCACTTGTTACTAAGATTTCGCTCCCTTTCGACGTAAGGATTGCAAGAAAAGGATCGAATACATTAGTATAACGATATATTTTACATTAAAGAGAGGGATGAGTTTGGTTAAACCACATAATGAGCAATCTAATTTGGTATCAAATTTACCGTCCATAAGATTCGAACCTAAAACATCTTATTTACAGGTACAGAAGAATACAATTAAACCGTAGTACTAAGTGGTAAAATGACTGGATTTAATCATTGACGTAATTAGAACACGAAAAATTGGATGTATCTGAAGTAACTAGATGTAGTACATTTGAAAATAAGTTGAAACAAAGATATACAAGGAATCATTCAAAATCCGTATGTTTTCTTCCTTTCATTCCAGTCCAAATAAGTAAATTTGAAATCACTACATCCAAATCGGCCCTTAATTTGTAGAAAATTAGGGAATAGCCGTACAATGATTCATGAAAATAAAAGTCATGATAGCATATGCATGAGTAAATGAATAACACAAACGATACAAGCAGACAAAGATCACATTGGCTGGCAGTCGGCAGCCCCCTCTTCTGTCACTTGCAGTCTATCATTTCAACCCCCCAAATAGTTTTTCTATCCTTCTCAAGTCCAATAAAGGAACCCCACAAAACAAACAAGTACTTTGTTTGATTCTTATATTTCAACCAAGCTTTACTTTCAACATGAAAATCAGAACCCACAGTTATAACATAGATATTGTGAAGTTATCTATATCCAGCAGATCTGACCCACTTGAAATTATGAACTTCACATGTAGGTGTCTGAGCCACATGGTGTTATCAGGTTTGCATACTTACATGAAAACGAAAACTAATAAAAAAAAGTTTGAAAAATTTGGGTTTTAACGATAATGATAAAATAAAGAATAAAGTGAATAATATCATGACTTTTTAGTGTAAAAATGTGGTTTTTCGTTAAAGTGAACGGTACCATAAACTTTTCGTTAAAGTTCTCAACGTCTCAATTTCATGTAAGTTCTTCCTATTTAGGGTTGACTTATCTTGTAAGATATTGTTTGGCATGGAAGATAGAGATCAATTTATATCCTTTATCAGAACACCAAAGAAACAAACAAACGAAAAGGATAGAAGGAAAGCGTTTTTAATTTTGCAGTAATTCACATTGGCACTATATATATTTGTCAACATTCTAAACATGAAAAAGATACAGAAATTAAACTACATGTCATTACCGACCTGATGCTGGGTTGCTCCGGTCTCTGGTTCCGACCACAATTGAAAATCTGCAGCTTCTCTGCATAAACAGCCAATTATAAGGCAGTGTACTAAAACAACAAATTGATATACCTGTATATTCTTCATTATATAAGATACGACAAGAGGCACTTCTTCATCGGCGCATTTTAATGCATGATATGTTTCTAAAGTCTATTCCTCCTAGCTGAGGGGAATGAAGCCTGGTCCGAAATCATTCAAATGATGACAATCTTCAAGCTTCACCGAAAGATTTCGAATCAGACAACATTCCCCTCAACTGTTCTTTGAGAGAGAGGAGAGAGAGACTCAACTGTGTCTGAGAGAGAGGAGAGGAGAGAGAGGGAAAGGAGAAAGAGGGAAAGGAGAAAGAGAGATGGCATAGGGAGATTTGATATGGCCATGCATTATATTTTCATGGGGTCCTTATATACGTAAGGATGAAACTCACATGACATATGGAGTCCACTCTCTACACTAATACTGCTAAACTTGCTTTCAATTTCACACAGCTGGCCAAAGGATATCTTCGATTTTTTTTTATTTTTTATTTTTTATTTTTATGGATATCAAATTTTAATTGTGAAAGAGTCAACTGAAATAGCTTCTTTAGGTACTTAAAAATAGATTATGGAACAAGCAACCCTCTACTTTCAAAAGCTCTCTGCCCACCCTTTGTAAAGGCCAATGTATAATGGGACACAGTCCAGACTTTGTAATTGCTTTTTGACAATCAACTTAAATAAAACTTGCACCTCTACCTTAAAGAGCGGAAATATGCACACCTAGAATCAATACGAACACGATGGTTTAGTACCTCGTTGTTGTCAGTTCAACGTTCCAACAGTTTTATAAATCGTGATTAAAAGTTCGTAACCGAGTCTACTAAGATTGATTGTTAATAATTGATGAAGTGATTAATTAATTTTGAGGAGGGTTTGTTGCTTTGATGCAAGGATCTTGACGTTGGTGTTGATTGCAGCTTACAAGTAAAGGATATGTCTTTTGCTTGCCAGGATATATGTCTTTTGCTTGCCACTTGTGTAAAGGGACGGTGATGTAAGATTGGAAGGTGGAGAACCTTCAGTTATCAATGATGGCATGCATATGTGATTTATGCCAAGCTTAAATCCCAAGCTTAACGCAGATTGGCCTGTTAAAGCTAAGACAACCAACCAACCAACAAATTTTAAAGAAGAAAGGAAAAAAGGACAAAAGAAAAGTGGATTATAAAGTGCATTATGCATAATGCACTCCCTAATATTATTTTTATTTTTGTCTTTGACTTGATCATAAGTTTAAGATCTCCTATCCATGTTTAATTTTATATAATTTTTTGTCTAAGTTAGAGATATTCAAAAGTTTAAGGAGATCTTGCGACATGACTTTTTAGTCAATTTAGGACATAATTATTCTCAACCTGGTTTCTCATTTTTAAATTTCTCCATCTCTGTAGTTTTGAAGTTTTCAATGTATGAAATCTTGAATCCCTCAAGAGTTTTATTTAGAATCGCTACGTTGATAAAAAAAAAAAAAAGTTCTAATTTCATACTTGAGTCAAACTTAGCCCAAAAATATATTTAATGTGGAAAAGAGAAGAAGGTGTATACAAATTATTAAGATAATTGCTTGACTACAAAATTAATAAAGTTCTCAGTAGAGATTTTGGAATCAAAATCAACTTTCCCATTAGGACCTACATGTTGGTAAGTAACGTATGATTTGTATCACCAATAAAGTTGAATACTAGAAGCTAATGGAATCATTACCTCTATATATGAAATATATATGCTAAGCCTACATGTCAAAGTGCCTTTTCCTAAGTAGGTTTTCTGTTCCCACATTTCAAGCATGTTCTCTCAAAAAAGGGGTGTCAATTTTCATCTTGGTATTTGAAAACCTAACACATGCTCACAAAGTAGGCATCCTTTCTTTCATTTTGTGCCGAACTTCTTGGGATTAGACATAAAAATACATGAATTGGTCTGCATGAGCTTTATTTGTTTGTGTTGAGATTTTCTAATACACTTCGGAATATTTTATGCTTCGAAGCAAGGTCGGTGAGACTTTGGAGGTCATGTGCGAGACTCAACTGCACAAGATCACTTACACTGAGGGCTTACTTTGATGAATCTTCACACATTAAAAATACATATATTATATATACAGGTAAAACAAAATTATAAATCAGAGGCCCTACGATTTTGCAGTGCCACCACCACTTGCATGTCCTCAAGGCCGGCCGTGCTTCGTAGTATCATAGAAATTTCGGGTTTATATCAATACAAAAACAATGAAATACGAGAATGAAAAGCTAATAATTTGGCTGCATATTGGCAATAAATTGTGTGAATGTGAAAGGATATGTTGATGAACGAGTAGCTTTCATGCGCTCAGAAATCCAGCAGTAGCATCATGAACACTTTTTGAGTTTCTCCTCCTAACATCAAACTATACAAGAGCAAAACCGTTGGAGTTCATTTCTCCAACAAACGTGTACATAAATACGAGGACTAAAACTTACATGTAGTGGTGAGTATGCATCCTTTTGTATTTTATCTCTTCTCATGTGATGGGTTAGAGTTTTAAAGAGAAAAGACATGAGTACAGTAAATAAAAAAGTTTTTAATTTAAAAGCGAAGCCACAACCACAATGTCTTGCATAAGTATTAAGAAACTCTATATACTAAGAAACTTAAAAAAATACTACGTAAATATTAGTTTACAATGCTTTTGTTAGAAATTCGCATGAGCAAATAAAAATTAAGCCAACAAATGGCTGAGATTTTTGACTTGCATATTCGACTACCTTTAAGCATTTGACTTTTAAGTTTTCTCTGACTTAGTGAACTTATCTAGAAGATAGTGTCTGCGCGGTCGGTTTGGTATGGGTGATGAGCAGATAACCAGTGGCTGAAAATATTGACTTAATCTGCATGCAGTACATTCATATCTGTTTCCTTTACGATCATACATATTGTTGCTAAGAACATGCTGTGATCCAGAAATAAATAAATAAATAAATAAAAGCATTTTCTTTTTTTGGGTTCGTTGTATGTATACAACTTTGAGCAATATAGAATCATATGTAATTAGAGCATCATTCTTTACTTCCTTAAGCTTATCTTCGACAACCGCCTTGCATTTTTCCCAGAAGCAAGATGTATCGAAATCTAATTCGTATGAGATAAGAGTTTGTCATCTTCATTGTGAAGCGTACAAGAAAGCTCGATGCATCTTGCAGCTGAGAAGAATATTGGTGATCTCAGAATGAAGATGACAAACTCTATCTCGTACGAATTAGATTGAAACCCCTGAATTAATCTTCCCTTTTTTCAAATGATCATGCGTGAAAGATCCCTTACCTCTCGTTCATCTTTTGAACCTTGTTCCACTGACCTACAATAACATTGTAAGAAAAGGAAAATTACATTACTGGAAAAGATACAAACGTTGAAC